AAGATAAGTATTGAATAACTGCAGGATAAGCATAAAAACCAATGTGTAAACGAACGGTTGGCGAACTGCAATCCAGCGTGGCCAACAAACATGGACGAAAATGACCCTCAGGTGGCTTGCCCCACCAATGACCTTGGACGTGACGGACAAGTTCAGCCCCAAACTTCATGGCATTGAACAATCAACCCAGATCTTTGATGAATCTTTCAACGGATAGACTACTGCTTAGACTTGATGAATTCGTAACGGTAAATTATTCACCAGGATTATTAACACAGCTCCCATCGTTTGACAGGGTTGGCTGACATTCGCATCTCAGGTTGACTTGTTAAGCAGAAGGTACGTGGTCAGGTGTGCGCACCATCTCACAAGCAATCGTGTTACGTTGTGCTGTTCGTGCATGATAAATAGTTATTTGACACAATCAACAGCCTGTGTGATTACTTTTCATTTACTACTTGCATTCTGTTTGTAAAGGAGAGTTTCAGCAGCACTTTTCAATTTTGAATGCATTCCCCATTTTCATTCCCTGCCGGCTCTATGTCTCTGCGAAAGCTTCCATTTATTGTTTCCATAGTCTCTTCCATATCACCCCCTGACGCCTAACTTGTCGCCTCTCATCTAATTTCTAATCGACGGTATGTAATGTAACGTCACCTGAATGTTTTCACAGAGTATGCTCAAGCCATCTTCATTTCATTCAACAGATTTCTGGGGTTACAAATTCTCACAGACATACCCACTCTAGCTAGTTGACCTTCAGTATCAAGCGAATTTGCGCGTAGGCGAAAGTCGACGGATTCCTGTTGGAAACGCTTTCATTGATGCGCGCGCAAAGTCTCCTAACCATACTATGCTACTTAGTTGAATTTATTGTTTGAAATTCAAGTCTTGTTTCTTGTGATGAATGTCCGAGTTCTCAACATTTATTTTAAAGTAATGAGTGCCTACACTGCTTCTTTATCCTATCTTTGGAATCCTTATCCGGGCCACCTCTAGCTGAAACTATGCTTTACATTCTAGTGAAAGAGACGACTTCCTACAGAATTCGCCCTACCCTGATTCCCCTATGTTTACATGAAATTCTGCCACTGTTGCCTCTTCTGCCAGTTCGCTCGCTGTCGCTTGTAACTCTTCAAGCTTGTGTGGCATTGGACATGGATAACCACCACAGTGTTGATTTCCCGGGATCTTCTTTCATTCCGAAATCTCCCTTATTTCTGATGGCCTCCCTATCTGACATATGACCCAGTCCATCGCAACAAGGAAGACCATCAGTGTTAGTACACAGTCTTGCCTTACTCTCGCCTCCAGTTCTAAAGACTTTCGGGACTTCTATGGTGGGTCATTTCTCATGCAGCACCATCATGTAGCTGTTGATTGCAATTAAGAAAGGTTAGTGGCACTCCATGGTGACTTAATCGAAGGCCCTGCCAGAGCCAGTAAAGCTGAGGGAGAGAAATGGCTACCACTCCAACCTGTGCCTGATGATACTGCGAAATGTGCAGCTTTATCCAGATGCTACTAGCCTTCGTTATTGCATCTTTTAGCCGCTGTAAATTTAGTTTCCAGCCCAAGGCTTTCAATATCCTCTTCAGGAAGATGACGCCTTACAGTTCGCTTAGGTTGGGAAGGTGCTAGTTCTTGCAGTGCCTTAAGGAGTCCTTTCTTCACAGCAATATTGGATTCATGTCCACTGCTACTTGCGGTTATCTGCAGAAGTCCTCCTTCTCCATTTGACCTGACTTGGTTTGGGAGCGTATTACTGTGTAATTACGGCTTGTATGCATTTTGAGCTCAAACTTCCAGCCTTGATCATGGAGACATTGGTTTCCACACACTACGTGAGATTCCAAGATGACGTTGGTGAAATCATGATAGCTGTTCTTTCTGTTTAGTGGTGGTTGTCGTTAGGAGGCATCCAATTCCATTAGATCAGCTCCCATATTTTCCGGCTACTTGTATGCCGTATCTTGTTCCGTTTGGCATTCTTACACACTCGCTGACCATGCACATGGTCCGGTGTTCGATCCCCGGCCGACGCACTCCTTTACCTCGCTAAACCAGAAATAATGCTGGTGAATAGGAAAGGTTAAGCATGAGGCTAGCAACCCCATCCTGTAAAATAAACACTGCTGCAGAAACTTAAAGCCACTCACTTGAAGCCCTATGTTCCACAGGGGAACGTGAAGGAAAAAAATTACTATCACTAAGAGCTGGTGTCCCATTTGATGTCAGACGGAGAGATAAGTACTGACAAGTATGAATACTCAGTATGACTGTGAGAGGGAGAGTTGTCGTTTCGAATACTCAATATCACAGCGAGTATAACAGGGGGTTCAGCATGACACCCCGTGAGTCAACATACGTTGCTCAGTGACTAGCCGACTGAGCTTCAGTGTAGAATTTCGCACCTCAAAAATGGTATGGGAGTGAGCGAATATATCTCCAAAGTACTTGACACCTCTTATGATTACAAGGCACAACTTATGAATGCAGTGGAGTGAGTATTTTAATTTCCGAAAGGACGCAACATTAGGTTTTGAGACTAACAAATTCGAATGCAGCTGAACCTTACTGACGGGGTTTTATTTAACAGTGAATATTTTTTATCACAGATAGACTATCACTTTTGCTTCAAGAGCAAAAAGAAATAGACCTATTACAGCATAATACAAGTCCACTCTCGAGACTCGTGGGTTCTGCCTTATAGGAAGAGACTGTATAACCGCTATGTGCCACTGACCTCATGTAGCAGCTCTGTCAGCACATACACATTAAAACAAAAAATGGGGGAACTACGTACGTCAGAGTGCGACTTCATTTAACCATTGAGAAGATGTCAAGGACGTGGAAATTACTTCACCAATAACTGTCCTGCCTCAGAACTGCAACACTTGCTTCGATGCGGCGATTCCATTAAATACATGAGAAGTTTCAGGATATGAAAAGTCCCTCGTCAGTCCTAAATTTTGAAAGTAGGCTGCCACTTCACGCCTGCCCTTAGAAGAATCACAAACCCTTCATCTCTGATTTAGTTATGTTCTTCGGGCTGACTTACTTTATCGAAAAGCTCTCGTCTTGCAGGGTATTCAAATGAGGCTGGTAATAAGAAACGCTTTAACCTGACATTATAGTCACCAGAATAGAACCGAAAAATCGGTAATTTATACCTTTTCTGTTCTAACGAAGGACTGATTTATCTATTCTTTTCAGTTAATAATGATATATTCATAAATGTGTATTTATTCTCGCCATAAGTGCAGCCAAGCCGTAGGAGCCCGATGGAACCCTATGAAAACTGGGTGCTTAGCACTACTTTAATGGCTGTCTGTAGAGATTTAATCTAAATTTAAACACTAGCACGATTTGTCATCCATTAAAATTTCGTCGTGGTACCTTAAATCCGCGAAGACTTACTCGCGATCGGAATGGCCTGATAATTAGATATATGGCTGCTACATCAAATATTAGTTCTTTCATGGAATTCGAAACAACAGATTGCCATAAACAAAAATCACGCTTTATGTCTACCCAGATATTCTAGAGATTTTATAAAATAATGCGCTTCATCGAGGAAAAATTAGCACGCATACCTTCTGAGGCTCTGAAGACAAAATTTCTTTGTGCCTACCCATGGTTCTGTATTAGAATGAGATTCGGTGGTTTGTGAACAGCTGTCCTATTCGTCAATGACCTACAGCTGCTGTTAGGTACATCAGAAAAAATGATGACTGCAGGCACAGAAAGGAAATTTCATAAACACATGTCGGAGATTTAGGCAGACCTTCATTGGGTTAAATTTACACCTTCAGAGCTTCCAAGTTGTGTATGAATATACGGTTCAAGTTAATTACTATCAATATCTTTATACTAATGCGATGGTTTAAGTACGTACAAAAGAAGTAGCCTTCACAAAATTAGAGCAATTCAACGAAGAGATTCATTCCACAAGGAACAGAAGTTGTGTTTCAAAGTTCAGGTTCTAACAGAAGCGTTTGGAGATTTTGAATTCTTGCATGACTTATTGAGTGCGCAGTAATACCATATACAATGCAGAGCAATTATTAGTCTGGCATCATCAAGTGTAACACAACCGTTCACAAGTGAACTTCTCTGGAAATTAACTAGTGTAGGCAAGTTTTGATCAAAAGAACTACAAGGGGAATTGAAAATTTCTAAATATCTAATGTTCATGTCATTGAGAAGCTTCTCGTAAATTATCGTCACCGAAATTAATTACTTAATGGCATTGCAGCCAACAATACAGCCATTAAAAGCCAATTCAGACGAGAAAGTTGTCTTCAATAGCTTAAGACAAAGGAAAGTGAAGATAGTTTCGATTTAACATATAGGTGAATACCTACCTGAATCTGCCTATATACAGTATTGCCTCATTAAGTTTAGGAGAGTCGTTTTTCCCAATCAAGTGAACTGTTTTCAATTCAGTGAATTCAATAGTTGCGTTTCGATTTGCAGTATCGTGAGAAATGTTAGTGGTTGAGCCAGCTGCGTGTGGAAAATACATCAGGTGTATATCTTAATGACAGCTGAAAATAGAAGTTCGGTTCGAAGTTCACGAATTCGTCCTGGAATTCGTAAGCATATTTAAATTATCATAATTTCTAAACATTCATGTGATTTTTTCTTGGTGATTGGCATCAGTCAACAAAAATACGGAACGTTCACCCGGAAAACAGTTAAATTGGTACTTTCAAAATGGCATTTGGACAGCAAAGCTTTTTCTTCGTTTGTATATGCTAATCAGTAATAATTAGTCTAAAATCAATTATTTAGAACCCAGCGTCGATGGCACAGTGGTGAGGACTCTCGCCGACCATGCGCATGGTCCGGGGTTCGATCCGCTGACGCCGCACACCCGATATCAATAGTCGGCCTGCATAATTTGGACTACCGATATCACAAGCTGAAAATTCCATACTTGTACCAAAAATACTGTGTGGTTTCAAGTTATAATCAAAAATCAAAAAAATATGCAGTGTGAGCATTCATGTTTATAATTGGTCCCTTAGCGAGGATATTTCGGTTTCTCAAGGTCATCTTCCCGTTTTTGTCATTCGCACCTGTTATTTTCCTTTATTTGCAGTGATGAGGTTTGCTATTGTTGATTCTTAACTGTCTCACAGCTTGTCATCAAGACTATGTTGCTTACGCAACCTCACCGGTCCTGGGTATCGTTTGACAACAATCCCAGGATCTACTGTGGGATTTCTGCGACCGAATCTAGTTGTGCGTTGTTCCAAAGCAGCTAAGGGTAGCTCAAGTGAACAAGTTCGTAAGCAAGCTGAGAAGGAAATGCAGTCTTTCTGGGAAAAGAATATCTCTGTGAAGCGTCCATGGTCTCCCCATCTTCAAGTGTACTCTCCACCACTAGTTATGAGATTCTCATTTCTCCATCGGGCCACTGGCATTGCTATGGCTATTGGTGAGTCAGAAGTTTTATTGTTTTTTATAGGTTGGTTCTGAGAATTGTTGGCATCTCGGCAATAATCTGGCAACTGAAATTTCTGTTGCTAATTAAATCTAAATGGGACTGTATGGATTGAAATTTGCAACGTTCTGTCACGATATGAAGGGCTCTGTTTTCCTTGTGGGTCTCCTGTAGTGTTGAAAAGCATTGCGTTTTAGAAAGCACTATAGTATTCTTGACACAACTAGTAACAGACAAATGCTCTGATAATTACCATATATATTATGCAGGCTCTATTCACATCATCAGACTAATGGGCGTGATCAATTTGCAAAAAATCCACTGGAGTCTAGGATGTGTTAGCCGGGACGTTCTTCTTAACCCCAAGTTGCTTTACTGCACCTAAACTTTGTGGAAGAGTAACAGTTAGCTATGAGTCTAGTCTGATTTGTCTGTTTGTTTGGTGCAAAGGTTGAAATAGTTCTGATATGGTCCACTTCCTAACAATGATGGGTTTGGTTGTCGTTACTTCGCGCAATCCGGGTCTTCTAGTCTTTTCACCAGTTCAACATATGCCTATCTTCTCTCTCCCTGTGGTCTGTCTTATGATTCAGTCAACTACAATCAAGAAAACCGTCAGTGATAGTAGGTAGTCTTGTTTTACTCCTACCTTCACTTCAGACGCTTCACCGAGCTTTCAGTTCCTCTAAGATGACGTGGCCTAATATTTTTGCTTGGGGTGAAAAACAGCATGATTCCTCACCAGTTTCTGCCAAGACTTAATTCACCCTTTTTTGAGTTTGACGAGGTACCTATTCTTACAATTGGTAGTTTCCCTTCCTGCATTCCAAACCTTCTGCAATAGTAGTATAAGCATATGGACTTTGGTCTAGATCCGTTTTTCCGAGCACAAATTTGTGCTCGAAACGTCATCAGTTAATATTACTGTGTAACACTGTGTGATTTATCAAAATAAAATCTTATCCATAATGGAGATAGTTTGGAACTAAGATTACTTAGTATTTTAGTGTAGCCTCAAAACAAAACCTGTTCGCGAATAAGATTAATAAGTTTGATTTGGGTACACAAGCCCATCTGAAATCGTCTGATTTCTCTGTACTTCCTCGGATAAACTCTATGTTTCCTAAATGTTTGGAGCTTTTTAAAGAATTGTTGAATCGGTTTGCACCTAACTGACTAACTGAGTTTTCACCATAGAGCTTCTCAGTAGTTCGAATTGCTACATTCCCATGTAGCACACAAAGGTAGAGAAATAGTAAAAATAATCAAAAAAAAAAAAAGACGATAACGAAGAGAAATAAACGACAGAAGGAATAAATATGTGGAGAAAAAATGAAGATTGAATAGATCTGAGAGACTACAAAAAGTGAATGCATCTGCACCACTGAAAACGACTCTTAGCTGTGCCGTTAACAGCCTGAAGCCATTCATTCTTAGCGTGTTCAGGACCCTAAAACAATCAGTTTAACCTCTATATTGTAACTTTCAAACTAATAGTTGTAGACACTATTATGAATCATCCGCATAGACCTTACTAAGTACTCTTTTCTTTATTGGCCTAATATATTTGCATGCATTTTCTGTTTTAGAACTTAACTAAGTCGCTGATTTCTATTTTCTTTTCAAGTTTGGTCATCTGTAGGAATCGGCGCTTTCTTTTTTACTGGCCATTATGAAGCTATGCTTGATTACGTCAAAAGTATGCAGTTGGGTGGTGCTGTCATAGCTGCTTGTAAATTCGTCTTATGTTACCCATTGGTGTATCATTATTTGAATGGAATGAGACATTTAGTAAGTATTCACTGCAGCATTTCTTATTAATTTTTCCGTATTCTATGCAACTATATTTTCACGCCTAAAAGTGACAACTAGATATCTGACAGTTTAAGTATTCGGTGATTAATATGTGAACGGAACTAAATGTTAACTGTAGAAGATATGCTTTCCTTTTTTCCAACCAGCTGTTAAGTGTAAAGCTGAGAAGAACGACTTGAGTGATATTGCTTATTTGTGTGAATTAGGAATACTTTTTATTTGATTGTCTATGCATCCTTATTACTGTTTGCCTAGAAGTATAGTGTTTTATAACCTTTAGCCATTGTTTGATTTGCTAAAGATTCAGTATGGTATAGCTACTTGAACCGCATTTCATTCTGAGATGAGTTAAATCTCTTTTTAGTTTAGATTTCTCACAGTTATCTGCATTAAAAAGCAATCAAATCTGTATTTGATGTTATTATTCGCTTTTCGATATATTAGAAAATTTGTCCGCATCGATTGTCATATAACAAAACAAGAGGCTCTAGAATTCTTCTCTACAAAACAGGTAGAATCGCTTACTCCTTGCGTACCATTGACTTCAATTCACCCCTGTAAAATGTAAGATGATACCGCAGGATTGGACTTCACCGACCCCTAGATTAGAAATAGGAAGTGAAGTGGTAGAGCACGGATACAGAGGGCTAGTTCCGCATATGCCACTTTACGCTGTCTCTGGAGTAGACGCGATATCCGACTATCGACCAAAGGGCGTGTGTACTGCTCAACAGTTCGCTCCGTCCTCCTTTACGGCTGTGAGACCTGGCCATTGAGAGTGGAAGACATGAAAAGATTAGCTGTCTTCGATCATAGGTGTCTGCGTTCTATCTCCCGCGTGAAGTGGTATAATAAGGTGAGCAATATTGAGGCTAGGCGTCGAGTGCTAGGTAAGGAGGGGAAATCAGTCGACGAGACTGAAATTACATCGACTGAGATGGTCAGGACAAGTGCTACGTATGCCTAGACATCGCCTTCCTCGACCTACGGGCAATGTTAGCTGATATAGGGCCAGGCTGGACAAGAGCTAGCGGCGGTCAAACGAAAACATGGCACCAGTCAATGAAATCCACAACAGTTAGTCTAAGCCATGTAGGAAGGTGTAGACTTCCTGGTTGGGTTCCTCGGGACGGTAAAAACCAATGGATGGAAACAATTGATGACTTGGCTCAAAATCGTTCTCAATGACTGGCACAGATGCATCCACTCCTTGTGACTTATGATTTCCAATTAAACTGTTTTGTTCTTCGTTATTACTATTCCTTTGTCTCACACCTCTGTTTACTGTCTCTAATATGCGTTTCTCCTACTTTCTCCTGCTTTGTGTGCTAAATGGAGTGTGGCGACTTGAACTTCCGCACATCGGTGCAAAGTTCTATGTTGAAAACCGACCATTGACTTCAAACTCTAAACAGCAACATTTCATGTGATTGTTCTAAATAGACCAGCTTTTGGATTATGTGAAGATTTTCATTGTATGAATTAAAAATGGACCAAACTTGAAACAACTAGAATCCCTAATAACTAATTCTTGAAAATTAATCTGATGTTTGCTAGAGACTGGCTGCAGGATGGAATTGCTTGGAGTTCTGGTGGGAAGTCGTGACCAGCCGGGTCCACCCGGTCGGGATGGAGGACAAATTCCCGCCGGTGAGATTGGCCGGTGGCCGGGTTAAAATCACGAATAAGTAGAAGTTAGAATTCATAGTCTGGTCATTGAGTGGAGTCCCAGTGGGCTTGCCTTGTAGTCGGAAGGTCCTGGGTTCTAACCCCGGTGGGTGAGTCCCGAACTAGGATAAGACAGCTGTCCAGTACTCCCTAGTTTTCAGTGATTCTCTAACTGATATCAATTCGTGATCAAACTCGAAAAAATGGATATATTGGAAAACAATATTTTTATTAAATACTGATAATTCAGTGATCCACTTCACGCGCATCCCCTTGATGTTTTATTCATTGAAAAAGATAGTTGTACATTAAAAGGCAATTATAAGAAACCAGTAAGCAAGGCTCAGTATGCACCTCCATTTTTTACTGTCGAAGAATAAATTTAACGTAGTCATAAGTACGGACTTGACAGCAACATTTGTTTCCTTCAGGCAGTTTGTGAGGAAGTAAACAAAGGGATCACCTTAATAACTGAAATTTATGGGCAAATGTCTATTTACTTGCCTTAAAGACAACGTAGTAAATGCCATATTGTCCCCCATAGGGTGGCATCCTGTGCTACTGTAGCACACGGACAGATGCTCTTTCGCTAGTTTTAAATGGTACTAGCAAATACTCTCACATCTAAAGATATGCATTTTACAAACCCGGTGCAACACGATAGCAGCCAATATTTTCAGTACAGCTGGTGATACGCTAATGCTTTGTATAATTTGTTTCGAGTCTGACCATGGATTAATGTCAGTTAGAGAACCATTGGAGACTAGGGAGGCTGTTTCATCCCAGCGTGGGACTCTTCAACAATACTCAGTTCGAAGAGAACCAACAGAGTTAAAACAGTTGTAGACACTCATCAGTAACACACAAAAAAGTGCTGGTTACTTCATATCGCCTTCAGAAATAAGGGAGAGAAGGCAGAGTTCCAAACTCAGAAGAAACAGTTGTCAAGTACTCCCCGTTTTCCAGTGGTCATCTAACTGTAATCAATCCCTGGTCAAACTTGAAACAAATAAAATCCTCGCAAGCTAACTCAAGGAAAAAACTTTTAAGGTTGTTGTTTGCACTATGTAGTTGTTTTTAAAGGTATACACAGTAATAATCTCATTCCGTGTTAATTGAACATGCTCACTCCTCTATACTTTTCGGAACAACCTTGTCAAGTACCTGACTAACTAGAGTCTCATCGTCATTTTGAAAAACAGATGTGTACTCGTGATACTTTCCTGAACTCTGATTCCTAAGTGTGATCAGTGTTAACCAACCATGGAACAATGCGGTTGAGACGTTAGCTGTGTCTCGAAAAAAGAAACCGATGGCAAACTTTCTGCTGTCTCCTTCTTCCCTTTATTTCTGAAGGCAATATAAAGTAGCGAACACTTTTCGACTGTTGTTGACGAGTATTCACACCTGTTTTAATTTTGTTTTTTCTCACTTATCATATTTCCTTTTTATACACCTTGTTTTGGGATTATTTTGCGAAGTGTATCTTTTGGTGCTCTTACTGTACAACGTTTGAGATTTAAATCAATAAATAAGTAACAAGAACGTGTCTCTGAATGTAGGAGTATTTACTATATGGTGGTTGGAAAAGGGCAAAGGTGTGGGTTTGTCAAAAGTTCCGAAGTAATACAAGTTAGTAGATGAAAGGCTCCATGCAGAAGACAGTGTGACGTTCAGTGTATCGTCCTAGATATACATACTTACAGACACTCATGCCTGTTGTTAAAAATTAACTTGGAGAGTCGCTAAAATGTTGCTAGAATTATGGAAATTTACAATGAACTAATCCAAAGACGTGCTGATATAAGGAAGCATAGCACTAATAAATTCTTCATTGTGACAAAAGGTTACTCCTTCGTTACCCAAAAGTTTTATCAACAGTGAATTGTAGTATCAATAAAAGGACAGAAAGTTCAAGTCAGCAGGCTATTTTTCTATTACAGCCTATCAAAAAGTAGTATCAGAAGGGTTAAGGTTACCAGGTAAATTGTTTTATGCGCTTGCAACTTAACAATTAAACCAGTCGCTGAAGCATCCATAGTATTTAAGTGTGCTACAATCCTGCGGGAAGTGTTTAAGGTGGTTAGTAAACAAAGATATGAAAATTACGTCAGCGAATGTAATTGACTTGTCACCATGATGACATTTCAGTAACATTTTTAAAATTTTGATTGTATCTCTCAATTTCTGAAAGATGTTAACTTGTTTAATTCATTTCTTTTTAGGCCTGGGATTATGCTATTGGTTTTCCAATCAAAACTTGTAACACCACTGGTTTCATTGTACTGGGATCTTCTCTGCTCATTTCTGCCATTCTAGCGTGCATTCGATTATAGTGCTGTGAAAAAAACACACAAGTCTAATGGGTTGTATTACCACCGCTTGTTATTTGATGAAATGTCTTTTGTCCTTTTAAATGATTTTATGCCTAGTTCTTAAATCTAACTTTCAGTACTTGTATTTGTCTTCAAAAAATATACATATTTAACATTATCTAACTTTGAGTGTTTCTTATACTGTCTGTGAAAATGCTTTAGTATTATTTACACAGTTGATAATCGATCACTGTGTCACGGGGCTGAAATTCAGTCTGTCTTGAAAGATTTTAAAAACTTTAAATTATGATTAGTCGTAACATTCTAAGTTATCTCGTTCTGTGGTACACGATCATGTAGCTGCATCGTTTACTTTCTTGTTTTCATGTGAACTGTCACCAACTGGAAGAACTGTAGGACATTAAAAATAGTTGGATTGCTGTTTATTCTTAATTTACAACTTTAGTTTGCATTTACAACTTCAGTTTTGATTGAATTTAGGATGTCATGTCATCATGTAGCTACTGGTATAGAATTCGATAATCCGAAGCTTCTAAAATTAGTAAGTTCTCATTGGTAAGTGTTCCCACTGACCACTTATTATGAAAATTTCGCAAAAACTGACTGGTCACTAATGCACAATGGGGTGAAGTCGGGTTGTTTGGGTTTTTAAGGATTTCATTAGTTTTCATAAATTACATCAAAATTTCTTTGCCACTTATCTTAGAGGCATAGTGGATAAGATTTTCGTTTTCTTACTTGAAAAAGTATTAGGCTGAATTAAAGCTTCCTGGACTTGCCTCTAACCTTGTTACTGCATGCCTAACAACTGGCTGTTCATTTCAAATGGGTTTATAAGTTGTTTGAGGATTTCCAGATTTTTAAAAAAAAATATCAGTTTCTAGTCTGTTGTGTCGTTGAAAGTAATTCATAAACTATAAATTGACATTGTAGTTCGCTTTAAATTACACTAAAGAGTCGATAACGTGGGAAAGAAACTAAAGAAGATGAGAGATATTTTCACTTAAAATGTTGAATCACCCTTTTAAGATTTTGATAAGTTGTCCCATGGACTGAAGAACTGGTTATGAGTTATCCAATGAAATAATCAAAAGTTTGACTGGTATATTTCACAGCAAGACCATGTAGCCAATCAGGTAAGTGGAGAATACGCCACATAGACGCATAAAATGTGATAATCAAACAGTTGACTATTACTGGGAGTTACAAATATTTTACTGGAAAGACAAGATTTATTGATTCCGATGATTGAAATGAGTCCAGCTATTGGAATGCTGATTTCATGCCTACTGTGACAATATTTGATGTACTTAACAGATTTCTGTCTATCTACTTACTAATTATTGTCTTCTGTAATTCAACATATATACAAATGCATTTAGTTGTAAAGCTAGGGATCACAGCTTTCTGCTAGCTTTGTTTTCTCCAGAGGAAATACTATTTTCATATTAGCACTATGTGTGAAGGTGTGTGTTTATAGAATGGCTATGTTCTTAAAAAATTTAGGTGAGGTGACTAGTAAACTTGTAAGGTTATTTCTAAGCGGGATCCAAAGTTTTAATAATCCGGTGTATATCCTTCCTCACCATGGATTTCAATCACATTTCGAACTTGAATGTAGACAGACTTCACTGCGAAATGTCCAAATCTTTGATGTTTTTCTTGCAAACAACCCTATTGAGAAAAGTTCATTATCAATAATTGATTTGTAAAGATTAGATTTGGTTTTACGAGTTTGAACACGGATTGATATTAGTTAGAGAACCATTTAAAACCAGGGAGTACAGGGCAGCTGTTTCACCCTAGTTTGGGAATCATCGGCAGTACGCACCCAATAGGGGTGGAACCCAGGACCTTCCGGTTACAAGGCAAGCTAGCTCGTATACCATTCAGCCACTGAGATCCTACCCAAACCAATCTGACGCTCGCTGGTGACCGGTAGAAGTTAGAATTCATGGGCCATTGAAACGAGCCCCAGTGGCTGACTGGTATACAAGCTAGCTTGACTTGTAACCGGAAGGCCCTAGGTTCGAATCCTGGTGGGGGGTGCGTACTGATGATGATCCCCAAACTAGGGCGAAACAGCTGCCCAGTACTCCCTGGTTTTAAATGGTTCTCTAACTGATATCAATCCGTGATCAACTCGTAAAAGGTTGATTAATTTTCACTCATCAGTGTATCTCTTCTGGTAACTGTTTGTTTTACTCCTATCTATCTATCTAATAATAATATGTAATATTGTCTATAAGATGACGCGCAGACTGCCTGGTTGAGGTCGTCGAGACGCTAAGAACCAATGGCTGGAGACTAATGGTGATATGGCTCAAAATCATTCTCAGTGGTGCAGGTGCATTCACTCTTTGTGACCTCCTTTATCTACTATAAACCTTCGTGTTTTTCCATGTTACCATTCTTTCTGCAGCACATTTCTGCTTATTATTGTTCGTATGAATATTTCTTTCGTCTATTTTTGTGTACTACACGAGGCGTGGCAACTTGAACTGTTGCACTTCTGCGCTGAGTTGTGGTAAGACTCATTTAACCTGTCGATGAAAGTTTCTTAATCAAATGGTCTAGGGACTTCTTGTAGTTTCAAATGTTTAATAGCTTGTTCAGCTTTGATCAGTTTTATGTTGAAAAATAAGCTGTTTCATTACTCGTCAAATTTTCTCATTAACTGAATTTTATTGTTTATAGATAAGGATAACTGCTTAAGCGATGCATTTATCAGTCTTAGTGTACCAGAATAGGCTGGCAGCACACATGCATAAAACCCCGGAAAAATCTCAGTTAATCTACCCCCATGAGAAATGATATAGATTCACCGAAACCCATCTGGATTACTGGGTGGGAATGATTTCTCCAATTTCTCTAGATAACACCTACAAATTCATCAGTTTGATGCCGATTACCAGATTCCTGCCTTTTCTTTCAAAGCATTTCTAAACATTTCTCCAATACTGTTGAAACGCTGATTCATGTGGGCGTTTCGTTAGTCAGTGCTAATGGAGTTTAGTTGCTCTAATAATTAATGCTTTGTAACTATCAAATAATGAAACTTCATTGAAGCTTCAAGCATAACAAGTGTCCACTGTTTTAAATTAAATTCGTAATTTTCAAATTAATTAGTAACTTTCAAGTAGCCAACTAGAAATTGGGTGGTTTGTATCAGTTCGGCTGTCTGACCTGAGTCAAACCAAGTACACCGCTGATGAGCTTGGCCCCAAACTATCGAAACAACTTTCCGATGTTTACATTACTTCTGTCCGACTGGCTAGCAAGCGCAACGGGTTAATGTGAGTGGTATACAACTACTCATTTCAGTTATTCAGTAGTATGTAGTTCCACACAGTTCACTATTTGATCCGCAACCTTTCAGTATTCGATTATATAAAAAGTTATAAATGAAATCCCTTAAATGTATACGACCGTTTTATGAGATATTTTATTCTGAGAAGTTTTGAAGATTTATTTGACAGCAATAATGAGACGCGGTTATCCCGGGGTTTCTGTGTATAAGTAGTCTCTGGCATAAAATGTGTTTTATTAAAGAGTGGGAATAAGCAAATACCTAAATATGTATATATTTAAAAAAAACTGCTTCGCTTAATTAATTACACATATTATGTCGCCTGTTAGGCAAATATGTTTATCATTTACAATTAGAAAGTGAAAATGTTATTCTGGTGTACTCAGATTGTATCTGTTTACCAATAACAGTATGCGTGAAATGACCCAACAGTTTGTATGTACCTTGCGTTTTTGTTTGAAGAACGATGAAAATGCATATCATTCATGATGTTAAGTGTAATCCAATGATATATAGAATATGGAATAGTAGAATTAACTTGATTTGGGCTAAATTAATTGATGCAGTGTTTGAAAGTCTTTTATGTAGACCTAAAAGAAGTGGAAGAATAAAAAAACAATAAAAGGGGGGGCGTTGTAATAGTGGAGAGTAGATTTTTACTGTTCCGCTTGTAAGTGATTCATATGACCATATCAAGTGCTTCTGGATGTGTATTTCACTTTACTCTCTTGATGTAGTCAAAATCATACACTAAAATTGTTTCTGATGTTAAAAATGAGACAATTACTGACGGATAATTCTTTGAAGTGATTCATTATGAAGCGAAATCGAGTAGAGAATCACTGGAAATCAAACAGCACCGGTTAACTGTTTCTTCAGAGATTAGGGTAATTCATCAATGAGCCATCGTCATTCCATCAACGATTGAACTGAAGACTGTTAGTTCTTCCAATGAGTATGCTCACATTTTGCATTCGAATCAAGTAACTTATTTCCATATCGACAGCTGTTTCATCCTAGTTTGGGACTCATCGGCAGTACGCACCCACTGACGTTCGAACCCACAACCTCCTGGTTACAGGACAAGCTCGCAGACCATTCAGCCACCGGGACTGGAATCAATAGTCAATGAATTCTAACTTCTACCAATTCGTGATTTTAGTGCGACTTGCAGCCATTATTGTCGATGAGTCGCAAACTAGGACGAAACAGCTACTCAGTACTCCCTGTTCATTTCCAATGGTCCTCTAAATGATATCAATCTGTGGTCAGACGTAAAACAAATCAAATCCCTACAAACTAATTCTTAACAAATAGCTTATCTTTCTTAACATTCAAACTTGTGAAATAGCCGATCTGCTGTCTTATACTATAAGTGAATCAGTATCTTCACCTTACCATTAGTAACCTTATTATAATCTAAAGAAATTCCTTTAAGAGCTAGTCAGTATATTACACAGTTCGCCTTATAACTTGTTGCTTCTGAGAGGTATTACGTCAGCCTCTTAATGAATCTAGATTTGTTGGAAGATTTCATCATGAGTCGACATCAGTAAGAGAACCATTGGAAAACCAGCAGGGAGTACTGGACAGCTGTTTCACCATAGTTTGGGACTCTTCATCAGTACGCACCTACCACTACGGTTCGAAACCAGGACCTTCTGGTTGCAAGTCGAGCTTGTAGACCATGGAGCCACTGGGATTCGATCCAGTGACCTATGAATCCTAACTTCTGCCAATTCCTGACACAGCGCGACCACTTCGCAATGTATTCTTCGATGAGTTACTGCCTCACCTTCAACCTACTATACTCTGGTCACGGTGCAAGTACTGACGAGGAGTCTCAAACTAGAACGAAACAGCTGTTCGGTACTCTCAGCTTGTTTTCGAATGGTTCTCTAACTGATGTCAGCTCATGATGAAATCCTCCAGACAATCAAACAAAATTCCCTACAAAAACCAATGCCTGAGAATCTAAATTTCTATAAGAATAGAATCTGAGCACTGTGGTAGAGCATAATTCCATCACAGAACAGTTTTATTCCTGATAGAAGCAGAGTGATGACGTTTCAAGCAAAATTTATTGTTTCTTATCATAATGAAATCTTATTGCAGTAATACTTCACACAAATTTACTATAAAGGCAAAGTTTACTTTGTCAAAACCAATCGAAACGATTTTTTATTAGAAACTCATTCGAAGGAAGTTCATTAAATTCACTCGGAAATGAAGGTATTCTATTTTGTATATAATATATTATTACGGATTACATTACTTTTTTCTTATTATTGACAGAATGAAAATGAATGCATAACGGACTTGCAAATATTTTAAAAATTTGTACCAAGTTTCTTTTTTCATTCATTTGAGTTTCTAGTGCAACATAACGCTACAAGCTTTATGCTTTGAATTTTCAGTAGTGATGGTTTTATTTCTTTTTACACGGTGAGGTTGCTAACCTCATGCTCGGCTTCCCATCTTTTCCAGGCTTGCTATAGACAAGCCAAGGTTTATGAGTACGTTGGGCCAAAATCAAAGCAGCACGATTAGAGAGCATTCTACTGCTGCTGCTGCTGGATTCAACATAGAACTTGGCACCGAAATGCAGCAGTTCGAGTTGCCACGTTCCAAATAGCACACAAAGGTAGACAAGAAAATGAGTGAAGAGAATCAATAGAGTTTTGACAAGTATAAGAGAGACAGAATGAATAATGGTAGAAAGGAATATGAAAGATTACAGAGACTGAATACATCTGCGTAAGCCATTGACAACGATTTTGAGCCATGTCACCTATTGTCTCCAGCCATTGATTCTTAGAGTCCCGAGGGCCCCAACCCGGAAGTCTGCATCTCCCTACCTGACTCAGTTTAACTGTCAGGGATTTCATGGATTGATGAGGCCATGTTTTTGTTTGGCCACCACTTACTCTTTTCCAACCTGCACCTATATCAGCTAGTAATGCCCGTCGGGGGAGACGATGGTTAGGCATGCGCAGCACGTGACCTAACCATCTCAATCTATGTAACTTTATAGCCTCTTCGATTGATTTTCCCTCTTTGCCCAACACTCTACGCCTGATGTCAACATTACTTACCTTATTATACCACCTAACGTGGGAAAGAGATCGTAGACATCTATGATCAAAAACAGTGAACCTTTTCATGTCTTCAACTCGTATTGGCCATGTTTCAGAGCCATAGAGAAGGACGGAGCGAACTGATGAGCAGTACACACGTCCCTTGGTTGATAGCCGGATGTCACGCCTACGCCAGAGACGGTGTAAGTTAGCAAAAGCAGCTCGAGCTTTTTGGATCCGCGCTGAGATTTCGTCACCAGTCAATCCGTTGGTGCTGATACAACTTCCCAAATAGGTGAAGTGGTCAACATGTTCTATCACTTCACTCCCTATCACTAAGCTAGGAGTTGACGTAGTCCAGTCCTGTAGCAGCATCTTACATTTTACAGGGGCTAACCACATGCCAAACATACGAAGATTGCTGCTCAAAGTGTTCAGAAGACTCTGCATTTTGTCAGAGTCCTACTACTGAACCACTGGTCCACTATGTACGAAATACAAATTCTATTTTATTGATTTTTGGAAAGTGATATTGTCTAGTGACTGAAAGACAAAATTATGCTTTTTCTAATGGTGTCTTGCTGTTCAATGCTAACGAATATATCTGTACCAGTTCAGTCGATTCACTTGGCAAAACAGAATTACCACAGACAGAAAGACTTCGATCGAGATACCATATATTTATATATATTTCAAGTTTGATAACGGATTCATGTCAGAGAACCATTGAAAACCAAGGGGCACAGGATAGCTGTTTCATTCTCGTCTGGGAATCATCAGCAGCACGCACCCTCTGGGGTTAGAACTCAGGGCCTTCCGGTTACAAGTCAAGCTCGTTGACCATTCAGACACTGAGATCCGACTTAAACCAATTCGACGCTCTCTGGTGACTGGCTGCAGGACTAAGTTGCTTGGATTTCTAATGGAAAGTCATGACCAGTTAGGTCCACCCAGTCGGGACTGAGGAAAACTACTCGCTAACGACATTGGCTGGTGGTGATGTTAAAATCAAAAGTTGGTGGAAATTAGAATTCATGGTCTGGTCATAGAGTGGAGTCCCAGTGGTTGAATAGTCTGTGAGCTTGTCTTTTGACCGGAAGGTCGTGGGTTCGTACTGCCGAGGAGTCCCAAACTAGGACGAGACAGCTGTCTAGTACTCCCTGTTGGTCTTCAGTGGTTCTCCTAATAATATCACTCCGTGGTCAAACTTAAGACAAATCAAATCCCTACAAGCTAACGCTTGAGTATATATATATATATATATACATATACTCAAGCGTATATATATATATATATACATATATACATGAGATTCTGTAAATTTTTATTATAAATTTCTAATCCTTCTGTACATCATTTGCTCAATACCTAAATTTTTTTTGATATACCATTTAATATAAACTTGTTCTGGATATCTATTCATCACTACTATTGTAGTTATTAAAACAACTCTAGCTAGTAACAAATAAATTTAGCTCTATTTGGATAATTCGCTTAGTAAATTTTTTCATTCATTTAGAAGACAAAGCTATTGAGCGAAGGAATATCTACTTTGCACTTAGATAGTCATCTATGTATCTTTTCTAATATATATTTGCAATTTTAATCCAATTTTAATACAGAAATTTACCAGTCTAGTGGTGATTAGTTTGTTAACCGTAATTAGTCAGTATCAAAACTTCAAGGTTATTTATCTTGTTTTGATTAGTCTTAATTTTGTTTCTGCCAGTTCGTTTTCTGCATACAGCTGAATCTGTGTGTTCAAAACAAATTCATATAACCGCTTCCTCTACCTCGGTCAACATTTCATGGACGTAGAGAGCTGAAAATTTCCCCCTTTTCCTAAGCCCTTTATAAGTTATTGTACTCACATTGATATCAGTCACAGAATCATTAGAAACCAGAAGTGCTGAACATCTGTTTCGCCCCAGTTTAGGACTCTTCAGTATTACGCACCCGTGGTCTTACCGGTGACTGACTGAGAGTCGAGGTCGCCTCGGTTTTCAGTAAGAACTAATGACGAGGGAGGCCTGCCAGGTAGCGTGTGAGGACAAATACTCGCTGATGAAATTGGCGAGTGGTGACGTTAAAAGTCGTGAGCTGACAGAAGTTAGAATTCACAGGCCATTGAATTCCGCCCAAGTGGCTGAATAGACGATGAGTTAGCCTTGTAACTTCAAGGCCCTGAATTTGATCCCTGGTGGAATCACAGATTCGTACTGATGAAGAGTCTCAAACTAAGATGAGACTGATGTTCAGAGTTTCTCTAATTGATATTAATCCATCATCAAACTTGAAGCCAATCAAATCCACTAACACTTGAATATTATTCTCCTGATTATCTTATTATTGTGTTTTCCTCATCTTTAATTGTTTTTCGCGTGATCAGTTTGAACACTCACTTATTTACCGCTTTTATTTTTCAAAAATTATGTATTCCACTCGTTGAATTACTTTTTAACCTATATCAACTGAAGTGATCACGTCAATACATGTGTAAAACTTGGGCACTGTGGTAGTAAGTAATTCCATATTAATTTGTTTATTAACCTTGTGTCTCCTCAGGTAAAACAAGAAGTCTTTTCAGAAGACATTATGCACGTACGTCTAAGTATAAAAATTCCACTCTACCATATTTAGCAGGTACTTTATGTGATGAAAATAGTGTCAGAAATGAACTAACTAACCTTCTTTGCACTACTAAATAAACCATTTTCTCCATCCTTACAACATCAACACTTATTGTTATTGTACTTGTTATATTTATAATCCTCTGAATTGTTTTGGTTTATTTTTTCATAAGTGTGGACATAATTTAAGCTGTGTTATAACTGTGAATTTTGTATTTCCCCTCACTTTACTATATCAACAGAACATTAGATTCAATAATGTATAACATGCTAAAATTTCCAAACTGAATCGACAATACTCTTCGAAAACAAACTCACTGTTATTATTATTATTATTATATTTAATAATCTCGATTCGTGCTTCGAATATTTCTGACTTTATATCGTAAACGTGGACAAATTCCTCTGATTAATATTGTTTTATTTTTTAATTTAATTTATATTTTGATTAAATCAGATGCAATATTGTGACAAATGCTGAGAATTCCATCCTGTATTATAAGTACTGTTTTTGGAATAAAGTAGATTGTTATTATTATCACACAGTGAAACAGTATTATTTACTGGATGATGTTTAGAACACAATTTATTGTTCATAATCAAATCAATCATAATCACACAACTTCGAAACTTGAGTTTTATAGTTTTCTTTGTTCTCTCCTATTTTTCGTTGTTGGGGTATTAGAATTTTCCAGATATCTGGGACAGGTAATGAATCATTCCTGTTACATGTGTTTGCAGTTGATTCGATAAACAAAGCTTCTGTTACCAGTCTCTCCCTCCACCCTGTGACATTAGATTTTAAAGCTGTCATCTTATCCCATCCTATTGTATGGTTGTGTGTGACTGCATGTGATGAGTGCTATAGCTGAACTATTCTCTAGATTTCTTATCTTATTCGGGTCAACCAATCTAGATTTTGCTAGGTTTGCTAGACTAGCCGAAAATTCTACTACCCCTACAACGAAAAATAGGAGAGAACAAAGAAAACTATAAAACTCAAGTTCCGAAGTCGTGTGATTATAATTGACGATATGATTCTGAACAATAAATTTTGTTCGAAACGTCATCCAGTAAATAATACTGTTTCACTGTGTGATACATCTAATAAACAAACTAATATGCAGTGGTCACGTCATATACCAAAAATAGAACGAATAAATCTTCTAAAATCCTATGAGAATCTTCATTTTTCTTAATTATATTGATTAACTTCGTAATGTTATTGATTAGAAGCGTATACTAATGTCTTACATAACTGTAACTAGAGCGCTTCACAATTCCTTGATGTTGACTGAATTGTATTCACTAAGTTTAGCATAGTTCTTGTCCCCTTTCAGAGATTTGGCGTTTTAATCTTTTCTAAGTTATAAGATCATCGGCAAACGTAAAACAGGTAGTAGAGTTGTTTATTTCATTAGGTGTCATGCAGCTAAATAGAATAATCACAGGATGGTTATCATCAGAATTGTTCTGACTAATAAAATACTAGGCTACTTAAAATATGCCAATTTACTCCGTCTCTGACGTAGACGTGATATCCGACTACCGACCAAAGGGCGTGTGTACTGCTCAGCAGTCCTCTCCGTCCTCCTTTATGGCTGTGAGACCTGGCCATTGAGAGAGGAAGACATGAAAAGATTAGCTGTCTTCGATCATAGGTGTCTGCGTTCTATCTCCCGCGTGAAGTGGTATAATAAGGTGAGCAATATTGAGGTTAGGCATCGGTCGAGTGCTAGGTAAGGCGGGGAAATCAGTCGACGAGACTGTGAAATTACATCGACTGACATGGTTAGGACATGTGCTACGTATGCCTAGTCATCGCCTTCCTCGACCTACGGGCAATGTTAGCTGATATAGGGCCAGGCTGGAAAAGAGCTAGTGGTGGTCAAACGAAAACATGGCACCAGTCAATGAAATCCACAACAGTTAGTCTAAGCCAGTCACGTAGGAAGATGTAGACTTCCTGACTGGTTGGGGTCCTCGGGACGGTAAAAACCAGTGGTTGGAAACAGTTGGTGACATGGCTCAAAATCGTCCTCAGTGATGGCGCAGATGCATCCACTCCTTGTGACTTATGATTTCCAATGAAACTGTTTTGTTCTTCGTTATTACTATTCCTTTGTCTCCCACCTCTGTTTACTGTCTATATTATGCGTTTCTCCTACTTTCTTCTGTTGCTTTGTGCGCTACATGGAAGGAGTGTGGCGACTTGAACTGCCGCACATATGTGCAAAGTTCTATGTCAAAAACAGACAAACATACAGAGGCTGCTTAAAACGGAAAGTGGTATTATATATGTTTTGATTAAAAACCAAATATTCGAAGTAGTGAATCATAAGAAGGGAGAAATATCATTATCATATTATCTTGGCAGAAAATTCTGCAAATATTCATAAACTTACTTATTGGTTTTCGACGGGCTTCAAATTTCTCCTGTAATCCAAGGTGTTTTAGGTATGTCTCGTATTTAGAATTGTTGTTGAACACCCTATTGGTGATCACCTCTTTGTCTGTTGATCTTTCAATTTGCTTTTGGTGCCCTAAAGTTGAATCAATGATAAAGTTACCTGGTGGATGGATTAAGTATTTTAAAACAAATAAGGAGTGTCAGTATACATATACAGGCTTAAATTAAAGTTCTTAACAGTAAGGACAAATTAACAATAGTAATGATATTGAAATGGATATAATAGACGTATCAGTAGAGAAGTAATTAATCAATGTACGACAGTAAGTCTTTTATGATTTACAGGGGAACAGAAATGAACCCTTTCCTCCATATATATATACATATATAATTGTTCCCTTGGGTTCCTAGTGGAACATAGGGCTTCAGCTGCACATCTCCACTTGTTTTTGTCTTCTGCTGTACTTTTCACCTGCATCCATGGTAATCCATACTGTTTCAGCTCCTCTTCACATGATCTCCTCCATGTCACCCTTGGACGTCCCACTCGCCACTTCCCTTTCGGGTTCCACTCGAGCTATGGCCTGACGCGCGATGTCACCCAGCGGCCTCCTCAGCGTGTGTCCAATCCATCTCCACTTTCTCCTGCATATTTGTTGGGCGATTGGTTCTTGTTTTGTTTCTTCCCATAGTTTCTTGTTGGTTCTTGTTCTTTCCGGCCATCTGATCTTCAGTATATAGCGGAGACAGTTGTTGATAAAGGTCTGCAACAGCCTGTTGGAAATATTCTTTGTGACACACTGGCCAAGTTTCTGATCCGTATAGAAGAACTGACTGACTTGACGTTTGTATTGAAAATCCGAATTTTGTTGTTGATGCTGAGTGACGAGGATTTCCAGATTGGTTTCAGGTTGATGAATGTGTTTCTCTCCTTCCCAATTCTCGATTTGACATCCTCGTCCGTTCCTCCTGTAGTTGAGACAATGCTCCCTAGATAAGTGAATGAAGTAACCTCTTTCAAATCCCTCCCGTTGATGGTGATTGGCGCTGGATGTTTCTGCTGCTGTTGTTGTTGGTTGGTTGGTTATTTTCATAACCTCCGTCTTGTCTATGTTCACCTGGAGTCCTGTCTTTGCTGCTTCTTCGACCAGTTTGTCGGTTTTCGCTTGTAAGTCTTCGATTTTGTGCGACATCAAACATAAATCATCCACGCGCGAAATCCAGGTCTTCTAGGTTCTTCACGTCGGTCCAGGATATCTCTGTCTTCTCGTTTCCCACTGTCTGACGCATAATCCAGTCCACCAGAATTAGGAATATCATTGGTGATAATAAGCACCCTTGTCTGACTCCTGTGTTTACTCCAAACGCCTCGCTGAGTTTTCCTTCTAGCCTAGATTTCTAGCTCGCTAGTTTTCTAGCCGGTCCCAAGCCCCGATAAAGAGGAAGGGTTGGGGCGTGGTGCTAGCAACTCCACCCCCAAAACTTAACCAAATTGCTACAGAAACTTCAATGCACAAATATATTATATAGATAGATATATATAACTGATTTTTATCCAGTTGGCGGAACAGATGATTTACAGACAAGAGAATGAGTTCGTAGTCGTGGAAATACCTTTTAAGATAATTAAAAACCATGGATACTGATCAAACTACTATTATAGTTTTAAACAGTCGGTACTTAGTATGTATGTGCTCGAAAGTGTTGGCTGCATGGTCCTAACTGGTCTTAGAGCCAAATTTACTTTGAGCAGCTAGATATGAGGTGTGTCAGTGGTTCAGGGATTGAACGCTATCCAGCCACGCACATAGTCATAGTTCGATTCCCGGCCGATGTATCCTTAAACCTTATTTCGGTGGCAGTAGTACTGAAAAAGCGGTGAGGTCAGTTTTGAGGCTTGCAACCTCACTCCTAGAAAAGAAATAACGCCACCTTTGCTGAGGCGTCAAGGAACAAAACTTGAAGACCTATGTTCCGTCTGAAGGAAAAAACAAACAAACTAGGTATGATCATAATGACATCTACACTGATAATTAGAACCACGACAACGATAGATTGCATGCAATACCAAGTAGATCTCATTATTCATATTTATCCTGTGCAAATGTTACAACAACTTAAATGTAATAATTTGTGTAAGCATTCTGTTGATAGCTAGAGTCGAACTATGGTTGTGCAAACTGAAAGCTTTATTTTCCTACGACTAAAGAAACAGTTATAACGAAAACTGTACTGTTGAATCGTTTCACTGTGTTTCCTAAGTTAGGAATATAGAAAGAACTAGCGAATCTTTGTAGACATCAGCAACTTTAAGACAGAAGTTTCATATTGCACAAGATGAATGATTAGAATTGAATATTTAGAACGCTCAAAGTAAACTAGTTCAAATATTAAACATTAGATAATACAGAACATGAATTGATTGTCCTGACGAAAATTCTGCCCAACTAAACAGGATTAGAGTTCAGATTTTACTCTAGATATATATTTCTTGAGGAATTACATTGTTTAGTCACGAAGGATATCAAATACCCTTTATGAATTTGATTGGTACTTTAGGCTTGATATAGTGAGGCTGAATAACATGATCCGATATCTTGTGCGTCGGCGGCTCAATGGTGGAATACTCGCCAACCATACACGTGGTCCAGGGGTTCGATCCCTGGCCAACACACTCCTAAACCTCGCTTAGGCCGCAGTAAGCCCCGTAAAGGGGGAAGGTTGGATGGGAGGGAGGCACTAATAACCTCATCCCGTAAAAAATAAACACCATTGTTACTGAAACTTGAAACCTCAAGCTTGAAACCGTCTGCTCCATTGGAAACGCAAAGGAATAAAACGTGTTTTGCAAACACAATTGATAAACAACACAACATAATGTACTTTAGAGATATTATGCTGGAAAAATAAACCACTAAGCTGATAATAACTCGAAAACTTACTTATTTGTAGTAGATCAGAGCCAAAACGTGTATTTTTAAATCCTTGTAAATATCAGAAGCGAAAAGAAGTGTTACGAAGGTTTATCACTCTAATTTGTTTAATATAAAACATACTTGTTAAGAAGCAGAATAACAGTATCTACTTAGATCATTTTGAAAGATAATGAATACTAGAAAAACTTATGAAGCTACTTTATCTATGATATTTAATCACCTAAAAGTATGCCCCCTCGACCCTATCTATATACGATGGAGTTTGGTGGTTTCAGGTGTGACTATAAGCATATCACTATTCATCTGTTGAGTTGGTGAGTACTTCTTATACCTCCTAGTTTTTGATACAGTTGGATTGTGTAGTGATATGAGCAAATGTTATCTGTTACTTGGTTGATTCTTATAACCATAATATAGTGGTATCATCCTGTTCTTGAGGCTTAAGGCTTTTAGACTCGATTTCGTGTAGAACTTGAACTGTATGATTCTGTGGTGTACAAAGTGAAAATGAAGTTTTATTTCAGACTATATGTTCTTATAGGATCTTAAAGTAAAGTAATAATCACGTGACGCAGTGTTGTCCCATGTGAACAGTGACTCAATTCTCCAAGATGTTTTTCTTTCATTTCGCTCCAGAACTGCACAGCATTTCACCGAAAGCTAATTAAGAATGCGCGTCAGTTCATGTAGTGACCAACAGATATATATTAATGAATAGACCAATAAGAAAAGCAGGAGAGTTTAGGCATTATAATGGATAGGAATTTTCGGTAGCCTAATAATTTGAGTAGGTCGCCGAACTAACCAATTGTTTTTAATGCTTTCCAGCAGTTCCTTAACTGACACTGTAGCATCAGTCATTATGTGTCCATTTTTTTCGAATCAAAATGATTTCATTATAAAACAGATGTAAAGATCAAGTGTAGTCATGGCCCATGCAATCAATAAAACTGCTAAATAACATATATGAGACCATGCTTTTTGTGGTTATCATATCGTCAAAAATTATCACTCAGTAATTATACCACTATCTGGTTTAAAATATTTCAAAATTCAGTTTTCATTTGACGTTGGACAAAAGACTTTCAATTACAATCTATTTCAACGTAAATTAGTGTATACATGAACATTAGTCGGTACATGGAAGATGGATTTCCCACCGATGACACTGGTTGGTGGTCGCGCTAAATCATGAACTGGTAGAAGTTAGAAGTCATGAGCCATTGAATCGGGTCCCAGCGGCTGAATGGTATACCAGCTTGACTAGTAACCGGAAGGCCCTGGGTTCGAACCTAGCGGGTACGTACTGCTGATGACTCCCAAACTAGGATGAAACAGCTATCCAGTACTCCAATACTGGTTTTCAATGGTTCTCTAACCGATATCAATCGATGGTCAAACTCTTAAAAAACATTGACGATGGTGAGCATTTTAGACATTTTGTGAATTTTCATGAAATGGCATTTTCACCATAGATATAATTCAAAGCATTGATTAGAATGCCTAATATATTATTCTAACAGAAATACGTAGAACTGATTCGGAACTTTATTTCATTACTGACTGCAGAACAAATGGTTTCTTTTTAAAAAACGGAACTTTGTTATGCCTCTGGGAGAATCTCTCCTCGGCACTCCATTCAGAAGTTTACCGTTTTAACAGAGTTTTACCATACCTACTGATATTGATCAAATTAGTATTGTTTATGCAGAGAAATAGGTATATGAAAGTCCAACCTCAAACTTTGAAAAACGCAGAATAACGAAGGACAAAGAATGTCTTTGGATTAGCTAATCCTTCAGTAGGAGTTTTTAATGAACAAACTATTTGCGTTCTCTAGGAAGGAAAGTATCAAAAACATGCTTTTTGTAAACCGCGAACAATCCCATAAAGTGGCCCTTTTGAAACTACAGGGGATTTTAGTCATTCTGTAGAGGGAAATAAGAAAATCCCTAATCAAGTCGTTTCACAAAAAACTGAAGATCGTATGGAATTTATCAAAAAATCTTTCCTGTTTCTGAATAGATTTCGCAGTCCTAAACAATAATTTACCAGTCCAGCTGGTTGACTTCTGTATTATGAGCAGTTGAAAAGTATACTGCTAGTTAGATTTTAGTTTTTACTATATTCAAGGAAGCCTCTGTGACGTATTAGTCAGTATTAGTCAACTGAGGCTGATTTCCAGTGTTCCCAGTAAAAAGTGAATTTTACAAACACCAGCTTTAATTCGGCATTATCCCCTTTTATTATGTGATACTGTGTTCTCTGAGCTTCTTAGAATTCTCCGCCATTCTTCGTGTTTCCTCTATCAATATTTTTATCAGCTGAGAATTCTAAAAGCTCACTTCACATTGAAGTTAATACTGAAGATACTGTCCTGGGGGACAATGAAACCTTAGCAATTAAGCCATCAATCCAGCTAGGAGAAAATAATCATCCAATACGTCCAGTTGAGATATATATATTTTGAACCTATTTATTGAAAAGAACTCATAGAAGCCAAGTAGATTCGGGAAGTTTGATTATTTTGCTGAATAAATAAGGTCGTAAACAAATCAATAAATCACTTCGCAGCTTAGTAGACCAAGAAGTTATTTGGAAACTATTTGAACACGATGGCGTGAAGTGCCAAGTCTTTATCAACCTCCCTCAACAGCTGGCTATATGACAGTGTCACGTTTCACGTGATCCACAACAGAAAACTCAGCGAGGCGTTCGAAGTGCATAGAACAGTAAGACCGGCTGGATGCCTGCGTATTATCACCGATGTTATTCTTAATTGTGGTGGACTAGATTATACGTCAAACTGTAGGGAGCGACAGGGGCATCCTGGATCACCGATGAGAAGGCACTAAGAGATCTGGATTTCGTGAGTGGATGATTTATGTTTTGTCACACAAACTCGAAAAGTTGCAGGTGGAAACGAACAAACTGGCTGAAGAGGCAGCGAAAACAGGACTCCAAGTGAACATAGAGAAGACGGAGGTGATGAAGATAACCAATCAACAGCAACGGGAGAGATTTAACAGAGGTTACCTCCTTTACTTATCTGGAAAGCATCGTTTCAACCACAGGCGGAAAGGACGAAGATGTCAACACCAGCCAGAATCGGAAAGGTACGATACGCCTTCATCAACCTGAAGCCAGTTTGTAAATCTACTGCACCCAGCATAAGGAACAAGATTCGCATTTTCAACACCAATATGAAGTTGGTTCTTCTATACGAGTCAGAAACTTGCACTACGTGTCACGGAATGGATTTCCAACGGGTTGCAGATTTTCATCAACACCTACCTTCGCTGGCTCCATACTGAAGATCAAATGGCTTGAAAGAATAAGCAACAAGGAACTATGGGAAAAATATGTAGGAGAAAGTAGAGATGGATCGAGCATACATTGAGGAGGCCACCGAATGACATCGCACGCCAAGCCATTGTTCGAGTGGAATCCAAATGGGAAGCAACGAGTGGGTCGTCCCAGAGTGACATGGAGGAGGTCGTGTTGTGGAAGCCCTATGATGCTCTCGGAACGCAAGTTAATAATAATAAAGCTAACTCACTGATCCCATCTGCTTGCAACTACCTATATATTTCTAAATCCTGCAACCTGCAATATTAAATATATGATACCCTGTGATATGAATAATTTCTTCACATAAAGACAATGTAGGACTTTATAACTAAGTTTCAACTGCCTATAATCTAATCTCCACTTCACAATGACTTTTTGACACAAAGCGTATTCGGTTGTTGTGTAAATCTGACTTTTTGGAATAATGTGATGCCTAACAAACTACTTTGATTTAAAGTAGATCGAATAGATCCGTCGAAGTTAACGTTCCTAACTTTTTCTGAACATTCAACGTACTTACTAGACTATCGCTGAAATAGCCGGGAATAAAAAATATCATAAATTTACTAAACAATATTTGTAGAAGTTAACCTACTTTGCAAAGTTGTCACACCAAATGCTTCACCCATAATTGTACTAACTGAACACACATAATCACCGAAATCTTCTGCTTGTAAATTAAAGATAGCCAATTTTGATGTAATCGGTGATAAGCTGTTGTAAGATTGTGGTCTGTGTTCCTCTAAAATGAATTACGTAAAAAAGAAGGAGAACACTGATATAAGATGAAAACATATTATTCAATATAACATATAACGGACTCAATTATTTTGAGTTTTAATTCAGTTGTTACGTTTGAGTACAGCTTCATCCGAGCCTATTTGTAAAAAAGAAGTACATATGTCTGTCTGGATTCAACATAGAACTTGGCACCGAAGTGCAGCAGTTCGAGTTGCCACGTTACAAATAGCACACAAAGGTAGACAAGAAAATGAGTGAAGAGAATCAATAGAGTTTTGACAAGTATAAGAGTGAAACAGAGTGAGTAATGGTAGAAAGGAATATGAAGGATTACAGAGACTGAATGCATCTGCGTAAGCCATTGACAACGATTTTGAGCCATGTCACCTAGTGTCTCCAGCCACTGATTCTTAGAGTCCCGAGGGCCCCAACCCGGAAGTCTGCATCTCCCTCCCTACCTGACTCAGTTTAACTGTCAGGGATTTCATGGATTGATGAGGCCATGTTTTTGTTTGGCCACCACTTACTCTTTTCCAACCTGTACCTATATAAGCTAGTAGTGCCCATTGGGGGAGGCGATGGCTAGGCATGCGCAGCACGTGACTTAGCCATCTCAATCTATGTAACTTTATAGCCTCTTCGATTGATTTTCCCTCTTTGCCCAACACTCTACGCCTAACGTCAACATTACTTACCTTATTATACCACCTAAAGTGAGAAAGAGATCGTAGACATCCATGATCAGAAAAGAAGTGCATATAATGGTGAAAGATTTTCTTGATGAAGAACTTAGGGTTGAGGAATGAAAGAACTTCCAAAATTAGATAGTATAGCACGTATACACTCCATTTTCTTCGAAATGTCTTTAAAAATATGAAAGTGACGCAGTATACTGGCCATCTAACTTCTACAACTAACAGTCTAAATAGTAATTCACAAATAACATGGGGCAGCTATTATTTTATAATTGATTTGCTGAGAGAGAGAGAGTAGAAGTAATGAGCAGCAAAATTTCTAAAAGATGAGTTGACTTTAAAACCTTTTTATTCTTTTTATTTTAATCCTTTGCGTTCTCAGTGGAACACAGAGTTCCAAGTTTGAACTCTGAAATTTCTACAGGATGAAGTTGCTGGCATCCCGCCTAATCTTCCCTCTTCACCAATATTACTTACTACTGCCTAAGTGAGGTTAAGGAGTTCGTCGACTGACGATTGAACCCCCGACCACTTGCATGGTTGGTGAGCATTCTACCACTAAACTACGGACGCACAGTTTTAAAATAATATAGACAACTTTAGAGTAGAAAGTGTCATATTTCATTATAAAGGTTATTTTTTTAACAGCAACACTTACCTAACTAAAACAAAAAGTTGAATAAACTGCACTAACAAGTGAAAATCGATTAAAAATTATCAAATGAATGTAAATAGTCAAGGTTCTATGAATGTTTACAGAATGCAATGACTAATAAATCTCTCCTTTCCTTCTGTAGTCACCCATTATCTGAGTTAATGGACATTTGGCAGGTATGTCATCTGTGTACTACAACTATGCAGTGGTTTTAAATTTTCTATTAAATACTATTCGGTAAATTCTTCAGGATACAAATAACCAGTAGAGACTAATTTGTGTTGTGATTGATGTAGAGTTTACTTTTATTCTGATTCCTAACATTCTGATGTTTATTATCACTTACTGAGACAAGTCAATGGGGCTTATTCGTTGCTTAGTAGGTTTTATGGTCCCCTGAACAGCGTGCCGCGAGAAAACAGGCATAAAATGGACTCACATAAAAAAATTGGAGGATCTGGACTTCGCCGATGATATATATCTGATTTCCCACTAACTGGAAGATATGCAAGTGAAAAGCAACAAGTTGGCAGAAGAAGCATCTATGGAAAGTAGGACTTCAGGTGAACATAGAGAAAACAGAGGTGGTGAAGATTCCTGGCCAACAGCGACAACAACAGACAATAATCAGCATAAATGGGAGAATTCTGAAAGAAACCTACCTGGAAAGCGTCGTTTCAACTACAGGAAGAAGTGGCGAGGATATCAAAGCTGGGACCAGGAAAACAAGGCAATCTTTCATTACTCTCAAGTCTGTGTGGAGGTCAACAGCACTCAGCATCAAAAATAAGATCCGGATTTTCAACTGTAATATGAAGTCAGTGTTACTTACTATACGGATCAGAGACTTGGCGCGTCACGAAGAGCACACTTCGAACAAACTGCAGACCTTCAACAACAGCTATCTTCGCTCAATTCTCAAGATCACATGGCCAGAAAAAGTCAACAACAGAGATCGCTGGGAGCGAACCAACCAGGAACCGATTGTGCAACAAATAGGCAGGAAGAAATGGAGGTGAATTGGCCATACTCTCAGGAAACCATCAAGTGACATCACTAGACAAGCCATTGCTCGAATGGAACCCGAAAGGGAAGCGGCGAGTTGGTCGTCAGTGCGAAGGTGGGGTGACTTGGAGGATGTTATGTGAAGAGGAGATGAAAACGTGTGGGCAGACATGGAGCCAGGTGAAGACTCTAGCAGAGAACCGAACGCAATGGGGACGCACGGCTGAAGCCCTATGTTCCTCTAGGAATTAAAAGAAACAATAATAATAATAATGGTCCCCTGAAGATTCAAACTTTATACCACTCAATAATGAGGTCATACTTTAATACCAATCCCCTTATCTAAAGACAGGCTATGTGTAGTGATGGATTCCCCATATATAAATCAGCTGCCGGATGATAATAAATGAGGCTCCGTAATTCTAGTGCTCTGTCGATAGATTTCAATGGATAAAATCGCTGGTTACTATCCCACGACCAGTTCTCATTCTCTTATACTCAAAGGCGCCGGAGTTTATGTATAATTACAGGAAGTGAAATATGATAGGATGTGTTTCATTTTTAAATCAAGGGATTCTGTTTTTTTCCCACTGGTGATTTATGTTGGTGTTCTGTACGAGGAGTTACCTTAGATCACTGAAACTCATCATAGAATCAATCAATAAATTGTTGATATGAAAAAATTAATTCTGACTCAGTGTTCTAGTGGGTAACGCCTTGGTGTCTGAAAAGAATGGGTACTTAGTTCGAGTATCATTTCTTACTCAAGAGCACACACATCCATTGGCCAGTCTCCAAAATGATGAGACGAGCAGTCGAAATTCTACTGATAGCCATTGCGAAACAACTAATTACAAATTATTAATCTTGGCAATATTCAGGCATCCATTTAATGAGCCTGCATAAGATAATAAGGTTGAAAATTTAAGTATAGAGTCGATTGTTCTTTTTGGATAGAAGAAGTTGTACTTTAAAGCATACATCAAATAAATATTACTGTGAATATAAAAAATATTAGCGAAGGTATAAGACTGAGTGTTGTTTATAAATTATTTTATTTTCTAAGCAACGGGAAGCTTTGAATTAGATAAAATCTTCACTTACGTAGACAGTATTTTTTCTCCGCATTTGTCATCACATCACAACTTGAAGCTGCTATAGGATAATGATGATTGAAAAGCCATCGTATTGATCCAGGTGGATGTGCACTCACTTGACATGTTAATACTGTATTCATACCGATCCCTTGTTTTATAACACGATTGGTCATTTTGACTTCTGGTGAAACTTTAAAAGAAGACAAATGTAAGCGTGTTGAATAACCCATGTTAAAGTAATAAATGTTTATTCTCACTTGTGTTATGGAATGATGCAATGCAAAAATGTAATACCTTTTAAAAAGTGAATGATTTTGATGATGATGTTGCATTTACATATTATTGACAAACGTTTCTTGCATTCCGAATGGATTACAGGGCTTTAGCAGGACATTTCCATCATATTCTGTTCTATGCTGTCTCTCTTATCTGCTTCCATGACTGCCCGCAAAATTTCCTTTCCTTTCCATGTGATATGCTACATATCACAGTTGGACCCACGCTCAAGTCGTCACTTTCCACTCACGTTCTTCTCTAGGACCTGCCATGCACATGACGTCTCTCAACAAATGTCTCACCGTATGGCCAATCTACCTTCATTTTATTTTTGCATATTTGATGATTAATTGGCCCTTGGTTGATTCACTGACTGACCGGATTCTTTGACGACTCTCCTTTCTGGTTTTCATTATTGAGTCAAGGTAGCTGTTGGTTAAAGTCTACGACCTATTGGAAATACTAATCATGACATTTGACAGGTCTTGGGAGCATACATATACACTGACTTGACATTAGTGTCAAAAATCCAGATCTTGTTTCTTGTACTGTAGATCTACACATTGATTTCAGAATAATGAAACCTAATCTTGCATTCCCGATTCTGATCGACTTTGAAATTCTCATCCATGCAGCTGCATGTATTCGAGATGATGACACACAGTTCATGTAAGTAAAAGAGACGATTTCTGTTAGATTTCTACCATTGGTAGTGATTTGTGCTTGATGTTGGTCAGTCGGGTATCTTTATCACTTCTGTCTTCTCGATGTTCACTTTAACTCTTGTCTTCACTACCTGTTCTTCCAATTGGTTGGTTTGCGTTTTTACATCTTCGAGTTTGGGAGACATGAGACATTACTTATCTCCAAAAGATGATGCATTTAGGGCAGCAATAGTAAATTTATCTCTTACCTCATCAAATCAATGTCGAGTTTTACAGACTCCTGAACACTAACTGATGAGAAGAGATTTAGTCGTGTAGCGGAATGTAAATTTGCGTAAAATATCATTTTCTTATAAGACGAGTAACAATTCAGAATTAATCAATAATCGACATTTCTTAGAAACAACTTCAATGAAAACTGTTAAAATGTAACTTTCTTATGGTGAGTTATTATAAAAATAAGTGAAACTTCTTCACTTAGTGTTTCGTAAAATTTACATCTACATCAACGGACAGTTCATGCTGAAGTACACAGTGGATCTCTGCTTCAAATAATTCATGTTGAGGTTCTTCACTAGCTATACAATATGAACTGAAATCATTTGGTTGGATTGAATAGACCTGGTGTCGAATTAAAACTAATGTAACAAAAGCGGTATTCTAATATAAAGTCACAAATCTTTTTACTTAAGAAATACTTTTCAGCTGAATGAATTATTAGCGCCTGCGAAAGTTCATATCTTCGTTTGTTTTAATGAATACGTTACAGATCAATTATTCAGTGTGTTAAAAGGGATTCTGTTTTTGTTTTAGATGCAAATCAACACTGATCCGTGAAATATCATAATAGTGTAACAGTTGGTTCAAAATTTTTAAAAATAAATTCAGAAATCAGCTGTAAATATTATTATGCGTCTTCTCAGAAACAATATAAGTTATTCAGTTTGTTTCTATACGGGTCAGAAACTTGGCTAACGTGTCACGAAAAAAAAATCCCCAACAAGTTACTGCAAACTTTTATCAACAGCTGGCCTCGTCGCTGGCTCCATACTGAAGACCAATTAGCTGGCCGGCCAGAAAGAATTAGCAACAAGAAACTCTGACTGGCAACAAACCAACCAACAGCCGATCCCCCAACGTATATGTAGGAGAAAATTGAGGTAGATTGGGCATGCATTGAGGAAACCGTCGAATGACATCGCAACGATGCAGGTCATCACTCGAATGGAATCCCAATGGGAAACGACGGGTGGGTCGTCAGTGCGAGGGTGATGTGGAGGAGATCGTTCGGGGCGGAGGAGATGAGAGATAATGGGAGAGGACAGCACCAAAAAGATCAATGTGGAGATGTGTTGTTGCAGCTCTATGTTTCACTAGGAACCCAAGGGAATAATAATATAATAATAATAATTCAAAGTGTTTCGTAGCACTTTGAATGCTGCTGGTTAAACACCGTATCATCAGATCCTTCACTCATCACTATATATATATTTCAGGAAAAGTGATCCAATGATTGTAATAACTGATTAATATTATCTTAACTTACATCGAACTGATAAAAATACTTCACGTTGATCATCCGGTTGAACGCCATTTGTTGCTAAGCAGACAAAGCGTCGATTCATTTTCCTGTGTAATTTGCCAATAACTAATGTTCCATTATTATGATTAATAGCTAAGTAGATTCAAAAAATAAAATAGAAATTAAGTAGCTTCAATAGGTAACGACATATATATATTCATATGCGTTCCGATTGGACGTCGACAGCGTCGATTGAGAGGTGCTTTGGCAACTACTTCAGTACTACGGCGTGCCATCGACAATTATACATCTCATCCAACAGCTGTACGACAATGCTGCATACCAAGTAATCCACAACGGGAAACTTACGGAATCCTTCGAAGTGAAGACGGGAGTAAGACAAGACTGCCTACTATCGCCAATGATTTTCCTGATTTCAGTAGATTAGATAATGCGACAAACAGTGGGCAATGAGGAAACAGGTATAAAATGGACTCGCACAAAAAACTTGAAGGATCTAGACTTCGCCGATGATGTATGTCTGATTTCCCAACAAACTGGAAGATATGCAGGTGAAAAGCAACAAGTTAGCAGAAGAAGCATCAAAGATAGGACTTCAGGTGAACATAGAGAAAACAGAGGGGATGAAGATTCCTGGGCAACACCACCAACAGCAACAGCAACAACAACAGACTACAGTCAGCATAAATGGAAGGAACCTGAAAGAAACAACCTCTTTTACCTACCTGGGAAGCATCGTTTCAACTACAGGCGGACGGAACTGACGAGGATATCAAAGCAAGAATCGGGAAAGCGAGACAAGCTTTCACTACTCTCAAGTCTGTGTGGAGGTCAACAGCACTCAGCATGAAAAATAAGATCCGGATTTTCAACTCCAATGTGAAGTCAGTGCTACTATACGGATCAGAGACCTGGCGCGTCACGAAGAGCATCTCAAACCAACTACAAACCTTCATTAACAGTTGTCTTCGCTCAATACTTCGCTCAAGATCAGATGGCCGGCCAGAAAAGATCAGCAACAGGGATCTCTGGCAATGAGCGAACCAACCCAGCAGGAACTGATTGTGAAACAAATAGGCATGAATAAATGTAAATGGATTGGCCATACTCTGAGGAAGCCATCAAATGACATCACTAGACAAGCCGTTGCTTGAGTGTAACCCGAAAGGGAAGCGGCGAGTTGGTCGTCAATGCAAGGGTGACTTGGAGGATGTTATGTGAAGAGGAGATGAAAGCATGTGAGCAGACTTGGTGCCAGGTGAAAACGTTGGCAGAGAACCGAACGCAATTTTCCTCTAGGAATGAGAGGAAATAATAATAATTATCCGATTGAAACAAAGGTCTGCCATCTTTGAAGTTTCAGTAGCGTTGATGCTGTTTTCACAAGGTATATATATACACTGGTAGTTCAGTGGTATGATTCTTACCGAGTATAGTACTCCATCATAATATTCGCTTGAGATTAGATAAAGGTACAGGGTGATTTCAGCTAACACTGAGTCCTGGGTCACAAGATGGCTGTCTTCCTATTTTTCAGGTAGGAAACAACATACTATTTTTGATGGGAAATGCTCCACTTCTTTGATTAGGGAAGCTGATATGCCTCAAGATGCCGTACTTCTTTTGGCGTGGCTTACCGTATTCTTTTAAAGCCAATTGCATCAAATATTCTGATGATCTGGCAAGTTCTGTCCCAGTAATCTCTGTATTGGATTGTTCTGATATGAATAGTTTCTTATCTTAGGTTTACTAATGGTCCCACTCAAATGGTCTTAAACTGAAACCGTCTAGATATCATACTGTTGATTTTAGTTTTAGACGTTATACAAGACTTGCGTGGACTGATTCAGCCTAAAAAGTTTTGTAATATGGACGACGATGTGATAGAGAATATATAGAATATGTTTTATCTCGGCATCAGTTTGTTTTCCAATCTCTGTTGGTCATCTCATAATTTTTTGATTTCTAAGAAAAAACTTTCGTTTGGCTTATTACATAAAGAAGTTGAGACTTTCTGCTGGCATAACTCAACCTCTTCTTTTGCTATTTATTAATTCACTTAATCTACTCATTCTTCTTTATTATTTCCCCTTATTCTTTCTTGGGCTTCTCAAGAAAGACTGTCACACTAAGTAGAGCATTGAAAGCTGTTAACAGGGTTAATGGTGTACCTTTGAATCACCTAACTGACATTGTTGTTCATAGGCATTTAAATTGTTGCAGGCAATTAGGTAAAGTCATATTGTCTGATACCGAACATCCTCTCTGTTCTCAACGTTTTCCTGTTCAGGCGAAACCAGAAAAAAATTTTATAGGAATTTATGCTTGTACAGCCAAATTTAAAGTTCATCCATACCATATTTACCACGGGTTTTGTGTGAAGAGCCGACTGTCAGAAAAGAGCTAATAAACTTCCTGTTTCGGTAAATAAACAGCAGATTATAACCAGGATTATTATTACACATATTATTTATTATTTATTTTATTCAACTAAATTTCGGTTATGGTGGTTTTATTACTTCTACTACGTAGGTATTTATGTATTTATAAAGGGGCTAAATTGTTTGCCTTATGTTCAAACGCTGAAAATCCATTTCTGGTTAACTATTCTTGTTTGGAATAAAGTGACTATATAATTATTACCACGTACGTGATCTGGGTTCGAATTCCGCCAACGCACCCTTGAACTTCTAATTCTCTGGACAATAGTAAGCCTAGGAAAGAGGTCAGCAACTCGACCGCATGAAAACAACATAATCGCCACTAAAACTTCAGAGCCTGAAGAACTATGTTCCGCTCGGAAGGCTTAGGAATGAAAGTGTATACATGAAACTATGATGGAGAAAATTTTTAGCTCAGCTGGATTTTTTGGTGTTGTTATATTGGCGAAGTTCAACAATAGCGTCCCAGCAGTGTGAACACTCCAGTGACCTTGAACGTATGCTATTCGTTGGCTAATGGCATCTGTCATTATCATAGCTGAAATTTCAACGCTATTCACCAACTTAGGAGCAAATTTCAGCCAGATCACGTTTTTAAGTACTGTTTGGACAATGTCTTAATAGCTAGTTAGGCTTAAGATTAGGGCTAAGGTAAGTATTGGGGTTAGGGTTAGGATCAGGGTTATAATTAGCATTAGGGTTAGAATTACGGTTTGGATAAGGGTTATGATTAGGGTTAGGATTAAGGTTAGGGTTAGTGTTAGGATCAGGATTAAGCTTATGGTTACGATTAGGAATAGATTTATAGTTGATGTCATTTATTGTAATTTGTTTTATTATCCACGTTTTCCTGGTAAGTAGTCGTCTATCCTCTTGCTGGAAACCATAACAGTTCAACCGAGGCCTTTTTCGGAAGACTGCAAGAAGGATGAGAGAGAAAAACGATTCACAAAAACAGTTTATCTGTAGTCATTTTGGTGAATACATGTACAGAAACTAGTCTAACTCAGCAACTAATACTTCTCGTTATAACTAGGACGTATTTTTAAGCCATGTCAGAGAAAGACAACCTGTTTAATGAGTTTCCAAGCGTTTTCTTGTCAACATACATCATCTTTTGAGCAAACATTCCTCATTTTTATGGTTGATCAGCTGAAGGTCACTCGTGCGTTAGCACTCCTGGGACGCTATTGTTGAACTTTGCCGTTATACTGTTTGAGTTACATGGTTAAATCGGAAAGCTCCCATTGCCTTGCAAGACAACATCTTCAGCACCAAATTCATTTACAACTTCAAGATAAGGATGGTGTCTGGGAAGACGTTAGAAGCTTCGCAATTTAAGCACTCATCTCAGTAAGAAAAACCATTTACAAATATACATAGTATTGGTTCTTATTTGTTCATTCTGTTCACGAAAGTTAACTTTTTGGGCTAAACAGTCTAGGGATCATTCATGTTTTGAAATTTTGAGCACTATAAATTCTTATGAATACTTGTATGGCTTAGATAGCATTTATATATCAATTATAACTGAATGGTTTTTAGAAGCTCTTCATTTGATGTCTTTTACAAATGATGAAGTTTCTTTTCCAAGTAAATATCATTCATAATAGAGAAGATTTGTAGCTCAAGTGGATGATCTGGATTTAGTTGTGTTCTCTAAACTGGTTGGTTTAAGTGCGAAAATTTCGTCGTCTTTCTGGATAACATCTTCACAGCAAGTTTTAGCATAAAGTGAACTGATTTAAATTTTCCATGAATGATAGAATTGCGTCTCTTGGTAACCATCTTTACATCTGTATTGATCATTTTTATTGACTTTGATTTTAAACTTTCTCGTCACATGATTTATTTTTAATTAGTTGGTAAATTTGGTCTATATTAACATGCTTGTTGATCACATATTCGTTTGAGTACCAGGCTTCTAGGAATTCTCTGACATTCTTGGTGTTTCCTCTGTTTAGAATTTCGACATTATCTCAATCAAACTGGTGTCCATAATTATCTGCATGCATTGATATGAAAGAATGTATATCAATGCATGCAGATAATTATGGACACCAGTTTGATTGAGATAATGTCGAAATTCTAAACAGAGGAAACACCAAGAATGTCAGAGAATTCCTAGAAGCCTGGTACTCAAACGAATATGTGATCAACAAGCATGTTAATATAGACCAAATTTACCAACTAATTAAAAATAAATCATGTGACGAGAAAGTTTAAAATCAAAGTCAATAAAAATGATCAATACAGATGTAAAGATGGTTACCAAGAGACGCAATTCTATCATTCATGGAAAATTTAAATCAGTTCACTTTATGCTAAAACTTGCTGTGAAGATGTTATCCAAAAGGAGGACGAAAGTTCCACAATTAAACCAACCAATTCAGAGAACACAACTAATTCTAAGTATCATTCACTCATACTGATATAACTAAATAATATTGAACTTTTAACGCTACTGTTCACCTCTCACGTTCGACATATTTGAAAATTAATGTTAACAAATCTAAAATGAAGCCTGTGATAATACATTAGAATTACATAAATTAGTTATTATATTATCGATAATGACCGTGACTTGACAACTTATGGTAAACATTGAACGCATATATAATCTTGTAGTGAACTGGACTATGGTCCTTTGATCTGCTATCTTGAGTAAAACAAAGTAGTTTTCTTAGCTACAATTAGAATGTTGATTTGAAATAAAAGACCTGATGTAGGGACGATTTTCGATACTTTGACTGGTAGCTACTCACCTCACCCTTAACTGAGACATCAGCACATGACCAGTATCTCGAAGTTTTATTCACTCTGTCGCCATTATAGTCAAAGGATAGAGGTGAAATCTGGCTATGGAGTTGGTCACTTCAGACAATGAATACAGCATCAAAGTGATGGCTCTTGTTTACCATCATGTTTGACTTTTTCGTCACTAAGTTTTATAATAACTTACATGACGATACCTGATTGCATTTTTTGGCAGTATCGATCTGTTGTGAATATTTTTCACGAGACCACGTGAATAAATTCAATGAAACATCTGCTTTTTATTGATCAGTCACAAGTTTTATTTTAACGACTGATTGAAAGCAACCAGATATACGTTGAGAAGAGAAGGGTATGCAACTGAAAAAGCGAGGGAGATTATAAATCAAGTGCAATGAAAAGCCGCCACAACAGTTTTGGACTTTGACAATATTCGGATCTCAGGATAATTATGCCTCGCCAATTTCTCAGGCATATAATTTTACAAAGTTGCTAATGAGAAAGAAGCATAGGTTCTAGGCTTCTTATTAGTTAACTTAAAGAAGGTTATATCATCCAAAGTACACCATATTATCGTCATTTAGTTTTTTTTTCTTTGCCATAGTGAAAATCCGAGTGAGAAAGAAAGCTATATTAATTTTTGTTTGGTGACCAGGCCTTATGCTGCAGGAAAAATATACCACTACTATGTGAAAGAAGAAAATGCTACGCTGAGTCAACATGACCAACCGGAGTTCGACCCCGATGGGCACACTCCTAAACCTTGCTTAGCCGGTATTGAACAGGGCAATGAGAGAAGGCTGGGCGTGAGACCTGCAGTCACATTCCACAAAAATCCCCCACTGCTACTGAAACTTTGAAGTTCAAATAGTGAAGCCTTGTGTTCCACTCTGAACGCAAAGGAATAAAGTGAAATTAATGAAAGTAAGATTCACCATGATAATAATGCGAAAGAGTTCATATACTAATAAAAGATGTTGAATAGTAGAGTCTCGTCATAAAGAATAAAATTATATTCGTTTAGTTAAAAGGCTTAACTGCAAGGTTTTCATCGTTATGAAGAAGTAAACCTTTGAAATTCTAAATGAATCAAATAGCTGTCTTTCATAATTTTCATAAAAACATACACAACTGACTGGGTGAGATGAGTAGTTGTATACTACCCATATCAACCAGAAGTGCTTGGTAGCTAGGTCGAGATGATCTAAACACGGGGCTGCCGCTTCGCATGTCTGGAGCCGACCTCATCAGTGTTGTGCCCTGTCTGACTCAGCTCAGACAGCCTGAGCTGAGTAGTATATAGTCTTAAGAAAATATGCTTGCTTTCTTGGTTGCCATTTATAGTATGAAGCAGATCACATAATGTGATTTATGCCTTTCCCAGTGAATTCAGTTGTGATTAAACGCCTCAAAAGATTTTATCATTGTGTTATTTTGTACTAGTATTGATCGCTTCATTGACCTGATGTTTGACCTTTCAGACACATAACGTGTTCTTTTTATTGATTGATATGTTTCATCTATGTCGACCTATTTGTCAAGTGAAGACTGATCTTAGCACTAATCATTCTTCTTGTTTTCTCTGTTTACGATTTCTACACACTTCTATTCCTTCTGGTGTCAGTAGATGTTGAAATACAATGATATAAGTGGAAAAGTATCATGGATGCGAAGATGAACGGTATGTCTTCTTTGTTTAACATATTTCTCTTTACAGTTGATGCTGGTTATCTATTCTTTGCAACAGTGTTTTCTGTTCCATGGTATCGCGTCAAATGTTTTAGTCTATGGACATCATTTCCAAAGTTTTCCCGTGTACTAACAGAAATTTCGGAAATGTTCTTTGTATACTGTCAGGTAACTTTACTTGTTTTTTCAAAGGGTAATTTCTTGTTTACTGCTTTTGATGAAGCTCAAAGAACACAACAGTGCCAAAGAGCTTTGCTTATTCCACAGTTTTCCCAGCTGTTTCTAAGGCGAAATGTCTTAAATTCAGTAGAGGGAGCGGAACACATTCTGGAATGGTTTCAGTCCACCTCTACTTTATTCGTTGATAACCACATAAAATTAAGTTTACAGTTCATAAACTTATCACATATACCATGTGAATATGTGTATGTTGGTTATCTTCTTGACTACTTGACAGCACAGAATTGCCAGTGCTGAAGTATCTAGATTTACTGATTATATGTAAAATTTGATGTCAGAAACTTCGTGACTTACACTTAATTTTACTATAATATTAGCATTAATTGATGAAATGCTATTACATTATCTGATAAATGGCGACCACCAGTGTTTTCCTATATTTCAAATTCTCCGGTTATATGTTCTCCTATATCGGTTAGTGCTGTTCTCAGTGAGATTCAAACAAAGCACTTGTTGTTCCACACACCAAAGCTTAATCTATTAGGCTACTGGATTAACAGAGCTGCTTCTATGGAGATGTAGGCACATCCAGGTAACAATTCGCAAATGAGACTGAACGTGGATCCTACATCCCACTTCTGACCGTCATCTGTCAAAAGACGTCATAGCTTTTTTCTACTGGCATTTTACTAATCATTATTATTCTTTAAGTTTCCCAGTGGAACATAGCACCTTAACAGAGCATCTCTATCTCATTCTTTTTTCTTCAGTCCTCTTTAGCTGGGTGCATGACCGCCGTAGGCTTTCAACTCCTCGTGTGATCTCCTTGACGTCACCCAACTCGTCGTTTCCCGCTTGGGTTCTACTTGAGGAACTGGCGCGCGATGTCACTCAGTGGTCTCCTTAGAGTGCATCCAATCCATCTCTTTTAACTTCTGCATATTTGTCAGGCAATAGGCTCTTGATTGGTTGTTTCTAATCCTTTTCGTACAATCATCTGATTTTCAGTTTGGAGCGAAGGCAGCTATTGATACAAGCATGCAGTGAGCTGTTCAAAATGCTTTTAGCGACACGCAAAGTCTATGAACCTTACGGAAATACTGATATGACATTAGTATAGAAATGCGAATCTTGTCCTATATGTTTAATGCAGTATATTTATACACTAGTTCCACACCAGTGAAAGTTTATCCTCCTTCCCTTATCTGTTCCTGGCTTTGAAATTTTCATCTGTGACACTACCTATAGTTGAAACAGTGCCCCCAAATTGTTGTTGTTGTCCAGTAGGTATCTTCATCACCTCCATCCTCTCTATGTTTTCACACGTAGGTCTTTGAGTTTGTGTAACATTAAACATAAATTGTCCACAAAGTTGAGAGATTCTAGAATTTTACTAATTATTGCTAATATTAGAGCTAAATTAATATCGAGTCGAAGATTTTTATTCCAGTTTACTTAAGTAATACATGACGAAATATACCTCTAAATATACTGTCTCACATATATTCTCTGTAAGATACCATATAACGAACAATGTTATTTGATTGGACACTAGTAACTAGTGTGACGTGTCTAGTCCTTTCTTCCGTGCAGACTGAATTCTATCAGACAGGTTTGCAATGTGGCCACCATTCTGAGTAGCTCGCCATCACGGTGCACATTGATTTGATGATATTAGATAGTTGGAGGCAATCGGCAGGAAGCCCTGCCTGGACCTAGGTTTCGTGCTAGTTGGCACTCACCAGTCAACAAGGCATATTTGCAACCATGAAGGAACTCATGTCCCTTCTGGGATTCGAACCCGCGTCACCCAGTGCTGCAGTCAGAGACGTTACCACTGAGCTATTCGTGCTCGAGATCTACCTCATGTCGGACTGTAGTAGGTATTTGATATCATCAGAACAATGTTCTTATACGTTAATCTTCTGTCTATTTCTACCTTGGAAAAATGAATATGAATAATAAACAGATAAAATGTCAAACTTACGCACTCCTAGTTCAGAAAATGCTTCATAAATTGATAATAATTTATGTTCACCTTTATCTTCTGTTACCAGGGGATTAGAATGAATTTTCCAAGTTACTTGAGGTGGTGGATCTCCATTGGCTAAACAGTTTAATTCTAATACTGCACCTTCATCAACTTTAAGGTATGGGACAGGAGATTTAATTATTGTCGGAGGCACTATAATCAAAGTAGGAATTCAATATGACATGAATCATATGAGGTAATTAAAACTGATTCCATATCAGATAAATTTATTTGATATAACACGAAGTCATACAGCATTATTAACTGACTTTCGAGCGTGGTTTATTGTTCATTATCATGTCACGACTTCATAACTTGCTTTGCATCCTTTTGCTCCTCTTGTTTTCTATATCCGTCATAGGCGTTAAATCATTTTCGTTGAACATATTTGGTGTTGCACGTTGGTGGTTTAGCCGTAGAGCGCTTGCCAACCACGGTCCACGGTTCGATTACTAGCCCGCGCACTCCTAAGCCTGGATAAGCTGGTAGCAAGTCCGGTGAAGAGGGAAGGTTGGGCGTGAAAATTAATAGCACTGCTATTTAAACTTCAAAGCTTGAAGCCTTATATTCCACTCGGAAATTAAAGGAATAAAATAAGTAGTAATATTTAGTGTTGATTTGATAAGTGTAGATCCGGTGACTGACCTCTCTCTTTCCACCTAACTATATCACTTCTTAGTACTTTTAGCTTAAGCCATCCTTTCGTGTTATTGAATGTGAGAAAATACATTGCAATGGCCAATCTTTTTTCCAGATTATGTGACTTAGCAGCTGTAATCCTTCTAACTTTAGCTACATTCCAATAATATAATTGATCCCGATTCACCACAAGGTTCAAATCCTACCTTTACATGAAATAAAGTTTAACTGCCCAACCAAAAGATATGTGAATGAATTTGACTTATGGTTTAAGAAATGTCGCTCCACTATTTTAGACTCACTGTGTCTAAATGCTAGTTTGTACTCATGATCCTATGCATTTTAAATTACTTAGCAACATGTCTTATAACGCTAGCCAATAAATGACTAAATTAAAAGTAGGATCATATTTTAAGCCAATGAAAACTGAAGCTATTTGAAAGGCTATTTCATACTAGTTTTAGACATTTTAATAATTTACACTTTCATATGGATGTTAATTTTGTTATTCCAGTGGGATACAGGACATCGTGTGTGAGGATAGAAAGTCGCCGATGATATTGGCTGGTAGTCATACTATATAGTGAAGTGGCAGAAGTTGGAATTCGTGGGCTATTGGATCGAGTCCCAGTGGCTTAGTGGTCTTCGAGGTTGCCTTGTAAACGGAAGGTCCTGGATTTGAACCCTTCTGGTGGGTGCGTACTGTGAAGAGTCACAGCCTAGGACGAAACAGTTAGCCGTCCAGGACTCTGAAGTTTTCCAATGGTTCTCTAACTGATATCAGCTCAGGATGAAATCCTGTAACCAATGATAACATAAGGGAAAGAGTATCAATCACTTGATGAAGTTTCTAGCACACTTTTTTGTTCACATTCATATCAAATATAATTCCACAACTTCGAAAGTTGTTTTTTATAGTCCTACTTCTTCTTTCTCATTTGGGTAAGAGAATTTCCCAGATGTGCAGCAGAGATGTTGAATCCATTCTAATGCATGTGTTTTCAGCTGATTCAATAAACTAAACTTTTGTTATCAATCTCTGTTTAAACTCTGTTTTATCAAATTTTAAGACTGTCACTGAAAGAAATATTTTATCCTTGTCATCAACATTTAAACACTGAACACTGTCAGGTGTATATTGATTTCTTCTTGAACGGAAATAATCATTTGGCTATACTGTGAAAGCAGAGAGATTGATTTGTCGCCTTTGTAGTCCACCTGACACAAATGCCTTCCACTCCTTATCAGCGTCATATATTATAAATACTACTTGGTTTGTGTTTAAATTAAAATGGCTTTAAGTAGACTTCTTTGAAAATAATTTAATAACCATAGTGAAGGTTAAAATTGTTTCGTGTCATTATCGATCTATGCAACATAAAACAAATTTATGCTTTTGAAGTCAACTGGTGGATGGTGACTAGCGGTGGAATCCAGGGCAACACACATTTCGTCCTATTTGAGAGCTGGGTTCGAACCTCGGTGGGAACGCTATCACTCACGGGGGAATGCAGACGACGAGTCCCAAAATAGCATGAAATGTGCATCCTGGATTCAAATACTAGCCGTCATCTACCAGATGACTTCAAGCTACATGACCAGACATCGTCGAAGGCTCGGCACAAGCAGCCGATATGTCAACGTGGGACCGAGCAAATTGGTCCAGTCAATCGACGGGAAAATCTTAACTGAATTCAATAAATTTATGCCCCTTTTATGAAATGATTCTATGAATTCCAACTATATACTAGTGGTAAGACTGCTAGACTGAAGTATTTGAATAGCGATGATATGATAATCATCATGTATTTTGAACATGTCGCATAAACACAATGAAAAAGGTTTTAAACAAATCTGTCTGTCAAGCTGTTAAAATAATAATCTCACTTAGTGAAAATAATCCAAACGATATTTATTTTGGACTTAGTCGCCATCATTCATCAATCCAAACCTATGAACCCAACAAATCTAAGAAATATCATGCCGGATCGGCCGTGGCCCGGATTAACAACGACCGCGCTTTCTGCTGCCGTGTCACAGGGCAGAAGTGATAAGTACACTACTGAGACACACCAGGCCGCGTGTGACCGGCCTCAAGCAGATGTTCCCTGGACTCTGCGGTCACGCAACACTAACCTTTCTTCCATTTCAGGTACCCGAAGACGAAACTCAGGCGTGAGGCCAGCAACCCCACCCTGTAAACAAACCTGCTACAGAAACTTCACCATGAGCAATCTCCTTGCGACAAAAGAAAAAGTCTGTGTGGGGACATGGAATGTCCGCACCATGTACGAGACTGGCAAAGCTGCCCAGATCGCCAGCGAGATGAAAAGATACAGAATCCAAGTGCTGGGAATATGTGAAAGCAGATGGAATGGAAGTGGACTCACCAAACTATCAACGGGAGAGTCAGTAATCTACTCCGGTCACCCAGAAGATAACCACACGCACACTGAGGGCGTGGCTATCATGATGTCACCAACGGCAACAAAAGCCCTGATGCAATGGGAAGCGATCTCGTCCAGGATAATGACCGCCAGATTCAACTCCAAAGGAAGAAAAGTGTCAATAATCCAATGTTATGCACCCACCAACAACGCAGACCTCGAAGCGAAAGAAGAATTTTACAGACAACTACAGGCAGCAATAGACAATACTCCAGCTGGCGACATTAAAATACTAATGGGAGATATGAACGCCAAACTCGGACCAGACAATACAGGAAGAGAACTCATCATGGGTAGAGAAGCTCTTGGAGAAATGAATGAAAACGGAGAACTCTTCGCCGACTTCTGCGCCTTCAACGAACTAGTGATTGGTGGCAGTGTTTACAAGCACAGAGATATCCACAAGGCTACATGGGTGTCACCAGACGGGCGAACCAAAAACCAAATTGACTTCATCACAATATCGAGGAAGTGGAGACGCAGCCTACTGGACACAAGAGCAAGAAGAGGAGCAGACGTTGGCTCAGACCACTACCTCGTACAAGGGACAATCCAAATCAAATTAAAAGCTTTCAGGGAAACAGGAGCTGCAGATAGACCACAAGCCAAGTTCAACACTCAAAAGCTGAAGGACCAGGCTACAAAGGACATCTTCATCGAAAACATAAGGGAAAAAGCCGAGACACAAATCAACACCAACGAAAAGGTCAGCGTCGAAAAGCACTGGAACAAATTGAAAACGGTGTGGAGTCAAACCTGCATGGAAGTCCTAGGCAGAAAAAAGAGACAGGACAAGCAGTGGCTCTCTACGGACACTTGGAAACTAATAGAAGAGAGAAGGGTGGCGAAACAAAAGATTATCCAGTGCACCGACGAGCAACAGAAACAGGAGTTGAATGCAAGCTACAATGCACTGAACAAAAGAGTGAAGAAAAGTGCCAGGGAAGACAAAAGAAAATATTGTGAAACCATGGCAAACGAAGCAGAACAAGCCGCAGGCAAAGGAGACCTCGCTACACTATACCAAACAACTAGGCACCTTTCGGGCAAAAGTTCGACACAGATTAAGCCAATAAAGGACGACAATGGAAAGTCAATCACCAAAGAGGTGGAACAGAGGAAGCACTGGGCAGAACACTTCAAAAGACTTCTAAATCGTCCGCCACCTACAACGCGTCCAACAATACCAACAACGGAAGCAGAACTACCAATGAACATCGACCCTCCGACGAAATCCGAAGTCCTGAATGCCATCAAGATGCTAAAAGCTGGGAAAGCGCCAGGACCAGATGGAATCCCAGCAGAAGCTTTGAAAACGGACCCAGAGACAACAGCGGACTTGATGACGCCACTACTAGAGAAGGTGTGGAAAGAGGGCAAAGTACCCGAGGATTGGAAGAACGGATACTTATTCAAACTGCCAAAGAAAGGAGATTTGAGTCAATGTAAAAACTGGCGTGGAATTATGCTTCTGTCCATTCCAAGCAAGATACTATGTCGCATCATCCTGGAGAGAATTAAACAAGCTCTAGATGAAAAACTTCGTCCGGAACAGGCCGGATTCAGGAGAAACAAGTCATGCATTGACCAAATCGCCACCCTACGGATTATCATTGAACAAAGTTTGGAATGGCAGTCACCTCTCTATCTCAACTTCATCGATTTTGAGAAAGCCTTCGACAGCGTCGATCGAGAGGTGATTTGGCAACTACTTCGCTACTACGGGGTGCCGCCGACAATTATTCATCTCATCCAACAGCTGTATGACAACGCTGCATGCCAAGTAATCCACAACGGGAGGCTCACGGAATCCTTCGAAGTGAGGACGGGAGTGAGACAAGGCTGTCTACTGTCACCAATGATCTTCCTGATTGCAGTTGATTGGATAATGCGGCAGACAACGGCAACCAACGAGGGAACAGGCATAAAATGGACCGACACAAAAGCCTTGGAGGATTTGGATTTCGCCGATGATATATGTCTGATTTCCCACAAACTGGAAGATATGCAAGTGAAAAGCAACAAATTGGCAGAAGAAGCAGCAAAGATAGGACTTCAAGTGAACATAGACAAAACAGAGGTAATGAAGATTCCTGGCCAACACCAACAGCAACAACCGACAACAATCAGCATAAATGGGAGGAACCTGAAGGAAACAACTTCTTTCACCTACCTGGGAAGCATCGTCTCAACTACAGGAGGAACTGACGAGGATATCAAAGCCAGAATCGGAAAAGCAAGACAAGTTTTCATTTCTCTCAAGTCTATGTGGAGGTCAACAGCATTCAGCGTCAAAAATAAGATCCGTATTTTCAACTCCAATGTGAAGTCAGTACTACTATACGGATCAGAGACTTGGCGTGTCACAAAGAGCAGCTCAAACAAGCTACAGACCTTCATTAACAAATGCCTTCGCTCAATACTCAAGATCAAATGGCCGGAGAGGATCAGCAACAAAGATCTCTGGGAGCGAACCAACCAGGAACCGATCGTGAAACAAATAGGCAGGAAGAAATGGAGATGGATTGGACACACTCTGAGGAAACCAGCAAGTGACATCACTAGACAAGCCCTCGAGTGGAACCCGAAAGGGAAGCGACGAGTTGGTCGTCCAAGGGTGACCTGGAGGAGATCATGTGAAGAGGAATTGAAAGCGTGTGGGCAGACTTGGAGCCAGATGAAAACTACAGCAGAAAACCGAACGCAATGGAGACGCATGGCTGAAGCCCTATGTTCCTCTAGGAATTAAAGGAAATAATAATAATAATAATAATAATAATAATAATAATAGTGAAAATAATCCATACGATGTTTATTTGCACGAGTCAACAAATAACATGTTATTATAACGGTTGAAAAATGAATTACAAGCTTACCTGATACATTAAGGAAAACTGTGTGAACATGAATTGCATCCTTCAAAGTTAACGTACATCTGTATTCTCCTTTATCTTCCGGTAAAGTTGGTCTTAGATATAAGCTTAAAGCTTTTGTCTTCAAGAGATCCTAAATAAAAGGTAATATTAACACAGTAATATTAATTCTAATGACGTATGTATGTATATATTTATATAACTTGTACCAGAGGCACCTTAACTACTGACGTGATTTAATGTCATGTCTGAAGTCCACAGTTCGAATTCATTATCTGTGAGATTCAAGCTTTGCAGCATTTCTAGATCATTTATTCAAATTTCTTCTCATACCCTGAATTTTCTACTTTCTGTAGGTAAAAGCAAGTTTTAGAGGAAAATATAATTAGAAAGATAGTAGTTCCTAGTGAACTTTGTCACTTAATTCATATGTCTATTAGGAATTAGCTTTTTGAATGAATGAGTGTAGAAAACTTTTAAACAGTATTTGACGAGATATAGAAAAATATCGACCAGCTGCAGTGTCGGATTTTTTAAATTTCACCGGTTATAACTTCAGCTTGCATGAGGTGTCTTAGGTATAATATGGAAACATCTTTGATTATGTAGTTCTTAAAGCTTGTGGAATAATTGCTAGTTGATTTCGTACTCTTCTAGAAGTCTAAACTAGTGTCAGGAAAGTTGTTAACAAAAGTGAGGCTTTTAGACGTTATTTCGATATGTAACAAATTTTGTCAAGTTCTACACTAGCGTCGGTGGCATAGCGGTTAGAACGCTCGCCGACCATGCACATGGTCCGGGGTTCGATCCCCGACCGACGCACTCCTTTACCTCGCTAAGCCAAAAATAGTGCTGGTGAAGAGGAAAGGTTGGGCATGAGGCTAGCAACCCTATCCTGTAAAATAAACACTGCTACAGAAACTTCAAGCCTGTAGCTTGAAGCCCTATGTTCCACTGGGAACGTGAAGGAAAAAAAACACTAGCGTGTTATCGTGTTATGTAGAATTCTATCAGCATTCCACATCCTCACATGTTAGGTAAATATATTCGGTGTAATGGTCTGACTATGAACGGCAGCTCTTCCCTGAGATATTATCCATCATTCACCATAACAAATAGACTTATACAGTATGCAGTTTTACTGTACCGCTGTGTCCAAGTCCTCCCGCTTTATACATCATTAATAATACTTCATTGTTAGTGTAGTACACCAATACAACTCAATAATCATACAATCTGTACGGAATCAATAACAGAAACTACTACTTCAACACTTCTAGTTTTCCAATGTCAAGTCTAGCAACAATTCATGTAGGCGACTAACAAAACAGGTAAATCATTGAGCTCAAAATGTCACTTGAGTATCTGAAAAATTCAAAACCAAATTAGCGAACCTCTTGAATTTTCCTTTTAATTTCAAATATTGTATTGTATATAGTGTGGGTTAGTAACCAGTGGGATCTCACAGTTGAATAAATATATGTAATATCTGATGCCTAAACTGAAGTTTTTTGGCCCTGATGTAAACTTTCTAGGTCAGTCTGACAGTGCAGGCGATTTCAAATGGTGTAGCTCATATTTCCTCATGGATTTGAGTAAAAGGATTTAAGCCCTACAACAAGAATGACTAGAAAGTTTATGTAATCATTAATTTCACATCGCAGTGTGATAATAAAAAAGAATAAAATCGGAATATATTGCTGTTAGAATCAGTATGACTTAGGCACATATCATCGGACGTTGAAAACTGACTGGGAAAGTGTGGTGAGAGCTGTCTGCTAGTCGAAATTGTAGACAACAGTTGACGTCAATGTTTACGTCATGAATCGATGTCGTGAAAAAAAAACAATAACAAGGCTTAACCTTGAGGAGCTCAACAACCAATCACAGAAGACTTAGCGTGGGCGGATACGATTCGCAGATATATCAACGGACTGTCTAAGAAACGCCAACAAGGAGATGACAGAACAACCTTCAGCAGGAAAACAACCAGTCAGAAGACGTTGCTTCTCTGCTAACAATAACGAATAATAATGTACGTAAAAACCTATAAATATCTGTTGATTTTCTGAATAAACGATCTTTTGCCTGGCCGTTGTCTTCTGTCGTTACGAAAGTACTGTTGACGCAATGACAAAGAACCATGGGATAAACTATTTATTGCTCTCAGACCTTGTTACTAAATATATCCATACATAGCAGGAACTGAGACACAATAGGATTTCGAAATAGTTTTACTGCAGTTGAGAGACGTATAAAGTCTAGAACTTTATAATACTTCCCATCAACAAAATTAGTTTGGAAGGTATCTAAGGATTATCTATGCAATTATACCGAAAAGACTGTCTTCTTATAATGTAATTGCTGTATTTATCTTAGATTAAACAAGGACCCTTTATTCTTGAAGGCAATGTAAAATATTTCATTAATAAATGTTGCCACTGACACAACCTGTTTATAGTATTAACATTCGAATGGTCTATCCAAGGCTTTAAAGGTCAAAAATGTTTATATTACTGTTAATTTATAAATGTCCAGTGGAATAATCGATAATGGAATTTGGAATGTTTAATATCAAATGGTTGGAAACAATCTACATGAAACCATGGACCCAAGTTTTGTTTATTTACCGGTACTCATCAGTACTAGGTGTCGAGTGTCCGAATCTCTGAAGGCAGTCTTGACTAATCTCCACTTTCTTTTTGACTCACAGTAAAGATTACCGACTGGAATTTTGTAACAGCCAGGGTTATTTTACAGCTTTTGTCATCCTCTTTCATAGTACTGAGACGATTTTCACGAGATTGTGTAACTGTTCAGATGTTTTTGCATTGTGTAATTTGTGGTGAAGACTCGTAATTATATACTTAAGCTGGCTGAAAGATTTATACATATTCACAAAGTAAGTACTCACCATTGGTGCTAAAAATATTCTCTGATTTTCTGTGACTCTGAAAACACCTTTGGTTAGAAGTTGTCTTGGTGATCGAATCCATGTTAATGTATCCAATTCCTGTAAAAATAAAAAATAATAAAAATGGTTTGTAATGTGATCTGCTTGAAATTCATCAGAATGCCTAAAGTGATCTGATGACCTGAAGTATTTAGCTCAAATATGCCTATTCAAAGATTTACCTGTGCTTCTTAAGTTGTTTGAATTCCTAACAATTGTGTTTCTACTTATAAAGAAATCGAGACAGCAAACAGGGCTTCTATGAAATTTAAAGTTAAGGTTTTAGGAGATTAATCCAATGAATAGCCGTTGATGAAATCATTTTCATAGCGCTACTGGCATTTATACTCTAGACTGATCACACTCCAAGGGTACATACGATTCTGGCGGCTATCATATAAGAATTTTATTCCAATGAGTTTATGGTGAGCCTTCTATGGTACCAAAATAAAACTGGGGTTAAAATAAATGGATCAAACTGAATCAACCTTCTGAAATGAATCAGTAAATAAAAGTCTTGCGTGCCTGAGGAAGCTTCACCTGTTTGAAGTTTTGTTTTAATAGGTGCGTATTTGAACAGGCTTGGATGCCATTTTGCTCTCCTTCTTTATGCTGGTAACACAATCCTTCTCAGAGCCCGTAGTTCAGCCATACTAACCAGTTAAGTTCTGAAATCTTTTTCTTGATTAACCGAAGTATTTTACTCTATCTAAATATATCGTCCATCAGAGCACATTTTAAAATAACTGAGTCTTTTGGGTCTGTGTAATGATTAAGAGGGTAATTAGGGATATTGCGTTTAGTAAGGCTGGTATAATGGAGCATGTCAATGCCACAGTCAGTACCTCACAAGTTTTTCACGTTTTTGTAAAGGAATAATAATAGCAAAACTAGGTCGACTTTCAGATTCGTAAGGATATATTTAGACATCTCTGAAAATAAACCATTTCCTCATTACTTAATAAATGCGAGATAGATTTACCCAGATTCTTATGTAAAACATTGGTCGTCGGCAACCACTTTGTAAGGTGTCAGAATAGACACCCGAAGCCCTGTATGATGTATACATTATACTGTGTGTTGACGAAGGACTGATGTCACTGATAATTCGATTTCCAGCTATTGGATAAATGTTAACATACTGATAACGTAAGTTGATTGTCAGGTGCTCATTGCATTTGAGGGATCATCGGTGCACCTTACCGAAGAGTTCCTATTCATATATATATATATATATATATATATATGTAACAGGCAGATGATGACTGACTGGTTTCAACATAAACTTTGCACAGATGTGCAGCAGTTCGAATCACCACACTTCACTCAGCACACAAAGCAAGAGAAGAAAGTAAGAAGAAACGCAAAATAGAGACAGTAAACAGAGATATGAGGCAAAAAGAATAGTAATATCGAAGAACAATATTAGTTTCATTAGGTATTATAAGTCACAATGACTGGATTCATCTGCGCCATTCAGAACGATTTTGAGCCGTATCACCAATTGCCTCCAGCCATTGGTGTCTACCATCCCGAGGACCCCAACCAGTTAGGAAGTCTACGTCTTCATACCTGGCTTAAGATAACTGTTATGGATTTCACTGACTGATGAAGCCATGTTTTGGTTTGATCACCATTTGCTTTTTTCCAGCCTGACCCTATGTCAGCTAACATTGCCTGTTAGGGAAGGCAATGGCTAGGCTAGTCAATCATAACACAAATCCTAACCATCTCAGTCGATGGTTGTAGCCACTGTTGTTCTGTGCAACACCAAAAGGAGAATTTTGTGATTACATTATTTTATTCAAACAGTTCAACATCTCTCAACTAGAGAAAACTTCTGCGAACTCAGTTTGTAGAAAATCACAATGACATATAGACAATATGCAATGTAACGTCACAAACTATTTAACTCAAAGCATAAGTAAAATGAGTAGTTAAAAATTAAAAAAAATTTAGTGAGGTTGTAAAATTACCTTTCTGTTTAAGATAATATCTATTGGACAGGATAATTCAGCTGTTGAACCATTTCTAACTGAAATATTCATCTTTGTTTCGTGTACAGTTCGTGTCACTTCTATAATTGGTACTGTATAAAAATGTTGAAAAAAGAAACAGTTTTTAAAAGTAGCTATATGTATAACTGGTAATTATAATTCGCAGAATATAGTGAAACAAATTTTGACTGTTTAGAGGTACTGACATAAGACGAGGGTATCCTTAATTAACAGTCTAAAAGTCGTGATAACTGAGGAGAAATTTGATCATTTAAGTTGTAGCAATACAGATTCACCTGAAATATTCGATGGATACTACATTCACTGAGATTGTTCCTCTTACATTGTCGTTGTATATTCCTGAAGTAAGAAGACAGTTAATCATACTTATTACTTCATTTTAAATTTCAAGAATTGAACTTCGAACTGTAGCATAGCTCATAAGAAGCGAAATGACAAGAAGCTCATACCACAGTAAAACTTTCAACTTAAACATCAATAAAAAAAGTACAGGCATTGATTAAACAACGCAGAATTCGCTGGATAACCCAGATTGTTGAGCAGTTATATGTCATGTCCTTTTCTTGAAGTGGTGCCACTTTTTTTCTGGCGGTTATTGGGACGTTTCAGTACACAGGTTAAAATAAACCAACATGATGTCATAAAAAATCAATAATATACGTTTATCTTTTGAAGCTACTACCTCCTGAAACTCATTACATTGCGCAGATATCAGTATCAATCGACACTGTCTAATAAAAGTGCAACAAGTGTAACGCAGTTCAAGAATGTACTTTCACTGATAATACGTACGCCAGAAAAAAATTTTAATTCAAAATTTCATTTAGAAAGCCTACAAGAAATATAATTTGATATTAAATCACCATAGGAACAGACTATAATTCTACAATTTGGAGGGATATACAATAAAGCCACTCCAAATAGCTTATTTATAGTCTCTAACAACAAACAATATGATTATAAGTTTCCAGACCGTAGGTGTTACGAACTTCCTGGAATAATTTGAGCACCGAGTCAGATTGATTCATTATAAATTAGTTAAATTAATCCCAGCGTGTTTAAAAAAAAATCAAAACAAGATTTTTTTCTGAACGTTTCGCTGTGTAAGCCACAGCTTCTTCAGCAGATTTATTTGAATTTTATTAATCATCAAAATAAAATCCGAATAAATCTGCTGAAGAATCTGTGGCTTACACAGCGAAACGTTCAGAAAAAAATCTTGTTTTGATTTTTTTTTAAACACGCTGGGATTAATTTAACTAATTTATAATGAGCAAACAATATGCTTTAAGAAAGAGTTTATTTCTGGTTTTAAATGGTCAAATTGTTGAAAGGGGATTCATGGCTATTCGAGTAAACTTGAGATGACCAGAACTCTCCAATGTTAGTTTCACTTAAATTTACACATATATAGCAGAGCATGAAATTACCGTTATATAAAACCCAATATTCTACTAACTACCAAAAGAATATAGTTATAAGCATTTCAGATTTTAATATGAATATCAAAATTTTTGAATAATTATATCCTGGATGTGTCAAATAGTTGAAAGTGTTTTGTTCATGTACTTATCCCAGAAGGGATATGAATTTCTTTAGGATTTCAGATACGTCTTGCTAATGAGTGCAAAATAAAGACGAAATTTAGGTTGAAGGCCTCTTGCCAATTGCCTCCAACTATCTAATAATCAATATCTCATCATCACTGAAAACTCTAGTTTTATTGATTCAGTATAAGTAGATTTTTCGGCAATTATTCATTAAGGTGATACTACTTAAACGCTAAGGTGCATGAAGTAGTGTATTTGAGTTACGATAGTGATCATCATTTTTAATATAAAAGTCGAATTAGCAATGTTTACTGTGTCTTAAATACTTTATTTATAACATTCATCAACAATTGGAAAATAATATTTTATCTTGATTTTTTTATTTTTTATTCCTTCACGTCCTCAGTGGAACATAGGGCTTCAGGCTAGAGACCTGAAGTTTTTGGTAGCAGTGATGTTTATTTTTTACGGGATGTGGTTACCAGCCTCATACCCAAGCTTCCCTTTTTACCAGCTTTATTACTGGTTAAGCGTGGTAAAGGAGTGTGTCGGTGGCCGGGTATCGAAACCCGAACCACATGCGTAGTCGGCGAGCATTCCACCACTGTGCCACCGACACATTTTATCTTGATACAATCGAATAATTCATAATTAACATACGACTCCTCTATTCGTGTATGATAAAAATAGATGGTAAATTCATATGGTCAGATGGTTGTTAGTGTTAGGAATTTCTTCATTGTTTTAAAGGTAGAAATCAGAAGTTTCAGAAGGCATACTTTGTTGTTTTATTATTTGGTAAGCTTAAATCCTTTTTTTCATGAGAATTTTTTTTCACATAGTTTCACTCAGTTTGAAAACGAGATACATCCGTGTGGAATCAAATTTTAAATAGGAAATTTCACTGTGACATTGACATTGATATCACGATATTCATCTGGTTTTTCTGAGTCGAGTGAACAATGCATAAGAATGCTGAATATTTTGTAATAATAGTGCTGTCGAATCATACTCACTATGCAAAACAGCCAAAATGTTTGTGAAAGAAATTCACTCTTCTCTAAGTACTTAAGCTGAATGAAAGTCTATGAAATTATATGATGTTTCGTGAAAATTCTCCTTTTCTCCGGTAAATGACATTATTAACAAAGGCAGTAGTTGTTGGGAGGGGGGTATTAACTATATGTCTACATGTGACAGCATTTAGGTGTTAGGAATTCACTAAACTCGTTGTTTCGTAATTTTACTGTTGCATCAATAAACAAATGGTGCACCTAACACAAATGCTATGTAAAGGACCGCAAAACTAAAAGGATATATTTAGTGTCTTCAGACTGAATAAAGAAAACGAGATTACTGGATGTCTACAAACCATGCTGCCTAGTATCACGAATGATATTCCTAATTTTGATATATTGGATTATGCGGGAAGACAGGAATAATTGCGACCGAAACGAAAACTATAGAAGATCTGTATTTCTTGCATGGATGATCTACGTATAATGTTACACAGACTCGAAGAATTACAGGCGAAAGCCGAAAATCTGGCTGAAGAAGCAGCCAGCGAAGGCAGGACTCTAGGGGGACCTAGAGAAGACGAATGTGATGAAAATAACCAGCCAACTACGACAACAAACAGCACCAAACACTGTCAACAGAAGGAAATTGGATGAAATTATTTCCTTCACTTATCTAGAAAGCAGCGTTCCACTTACAGGTAGGCAGCACAGATGAGGATGTCAACAGCAGCCAGAATCGGAAAGGCGAGATACCCCTTTCACCAAGCTGAAATCAATGTGGAAATCAACTGCACTCAGCCGTCATGAAGAACAAGATTCGGATTCTATTCAACATAAATGTTGAGTCAGTCAGTTCTTCTTTAAGGGTCATAAACTTGGCATGTGCGTGTCACCAAAAGCATTTCTAACAGGCCACTACAGATATTTACCAACAGCTGCCATCACCAGCTCAATATTGAAGATCAAATGGTCAGCCGACCAGAGGGAATTAGCAACAAGAAACTCTGGCTGGGAACAGACTAACCAAGAGCCGATTGCTCAACAAATACTCCGAAGAAAATGGAGGTGGATGGGATGCACGCTGAAGAGATCATCGAATAATATTGCGCACCACGCCGCCGAGTAGAAGCAGAATGGAAAACGACGAGTTGGGTGGGTGGAGGAGATGAGAGATTATGGCCAATCGCGGGCGCAGCTAAAGAGGACTACAGAAAATAAGACAAATTGTAGATGTTCTATAGAATCTTTATGTGTTCCACTCGGAACCCAAGGGTTCAATAATAATATCTAACAAATTTGGGCGAGTGAATCTAACCAAGAACTGTTCCATGAACCAAAAAAGCAAATCAAGCGTTGCTTTTTATCTAACGAAGTAGGTTAATTGAACTTCTGAATAAAAAAATCAGCTTGCCTAACTGATAATATAAACATCATTATATACAACTATCCATCCTTGGTTCAAAGTGAAACATGGCGGTTCAGTAGTATATCTCCAGTTCATCCTGCCCTCTAATGTCTTTTTAAACTGGATCTATGATTGCTCACATACTCTGATTTCCCCTTCACATTATCTTCTCTATTTTTATCTTCAAAAGGCCAGCTAACTGCTTCCAATACGAGTTCCTTTTGGCAACTTGTTCAACAAACACTCCGAAGAAAATTGCCATAGATCATACACATGCTGAAGAGACCATCAAATGATATTGTGCACCAGGTCTTCAAGTGGAAACAGAATGGATAACGGCGAGTTGGACGGGTGTCCGAAGGCGATATGGAGGAGACTGTGCGAGGATGAGATGAGGGACTATGGGCAATCGTGGGTACAGCTAAAAGGACTGCAGAGAATAAGACGAATTGGAGATGTTCTGTTGGATCTCTATATGTTCCACTCGGAACCTTAAGGGAGCAATAATAACAATAATCGATGCTTAAGCAACTGCGAAGTGATGTCATTTCCGCATTTTTATCAGTTTATATTGTATTCTGTTTTCCTCAATCTCAAAACCATATAAATCGTTGTTATGGTACAGTTTATTTAACAACCCCCATTAGTTGAAAACAATTGTGATGATCACATAGACTTCGTTTGAACTTTTTGAAACAATTGGCTGATGAGTACGACGCTAATCAGTATGGTTTAATATTTCATAGGAAAGGTTGAAAGGTTCTGTTGACGAACAAACTAAATCTGGGAATTTTCTTCATTTTGGTGGTTGTCACCTGTAGAAGTATGTTAGTCTTAGAAATCTGCGCTTTTTAAACTTGTCTACTTATGAGTAGCCTAGTGTAATGATAAAACTTTATGATTGATGAGAGAATATAGCAGTTGCGAATTCTGTGCTTCTAGAGGATAGTTTCATTTATAAATCTCTTTCTATAAGGATCGGAGTTATTAAATAACTCAACTCGTCATTGATTTGATTGAACATACTAACACTAGTGGCATTGTACAAATAGGCTTTTCATTTTTCATTGGTTCGTAAGTTTTCTAAGCTGGGTGGTTAAATGTCAAAGCTTCTATTAGCTTTCTCGAAAATTTCTTCAATGCTGACTTCAGTGAGCTTAGAAAATTCCCAGTGGATGAAATATCTGTTTTTCTCCTCGTGATTTTGACTGCGATTAGTTATGCGCAGAGATGTTTTTATGGTTCTGCTCGCTTCTGTTGGTATCGATCCCCTCCTTCACTTAATATTTGACCTTTTGGTGATGTGATGTATTCTTTATTGATTAGTGAGTTTTATTTGGATCAATAAGTCTACTAGTTGCAAAGTGAATTAAGTGTGACATTTGGTATTTAGTAGTTTATATTACCATCCATTCGGAGACAACTTATAGGCAAGTTATTAAGTAAGATGCACTTTTAAAAAATATCCCAAGGCACTAAGAAATATGTGTTTGAATAAATAATGACTGTTATCATTAAATACAGATGGTCAGTTCTAGGTAGAAGTGTAATATATTATCAAGAAAATGAAACGGCAAAATTTGTAAGCATCTGATAATATACGAATGTTATCCAAGTTACAGAGTTTTCTTGCTGCTAATTCTCTCTGGCCGGCTGGCCATTTGATCTTCAATACTGAGCTGGCGATGGCAGCTGTTGGTCAACGTCTGTAGTGGCCTGTTAGAAATCCTTTTGGTGACATGCACATGCCGAGTTTCTGACTCAAATTGAAGCGATTACTGACTTAACATTGTTGTTGGAAATCCTAATCTTGTTGTTTATTCTGCTGAGTGCAACAGATTTCCACACTGATTTCAGCTTGGTGAAAGGCGTATCTTACCTTTCTGATTCTGTTTGGTGTTGTCTTTTTCATCTTTGCTAACTTCCTGTAGTTGAAACGATGCTTCTTAGATAAGTGGAAGAAGTGATCTCATTCGAATTTCTTCCGTTGATATTTATTGGTGCTGTTTGTTGTTGTTGTTGGTTGGTTGGTTATCTTCATCATCTCCGTGTTCTCTATGTTCACCTGGAGTCTTGTCTTCTCTGGCTGCTTCTTCAGTCAATTTCTTGGTGTTCGCCTGTAAGTCTTCCAGTATGTAAGACTTTCGACATAAAATTTTTTATATAGACTGCCAAATATTTCCGCATAAAAAGTGATTATTTCGCCTTTTTTTCACGAGTACGTAAATCAAAGGTTATGGCATAAAAAGTTTGTTTTAATTAACCAATGTGATAAATATTTAAAATCTCTCATGTTGTCTGCTTTGTAACACTTCTTATTTAGTAGTTTGCTTTCGGCTACAGCTTCTTCCAGAATAAATGTATTTCTGAGTTTTCAAAAGAATGGTTACTGAACAAAGAATAATCTTTTCGATGACTTCATCATCAGGCTCTACAGTTATATATACATTATAGTAAAGGAATGAATGAATTAGTGTTATGAACAACATTCATGTTATTTAAATAAAATCGAATCAATATTAATATCAATGGATTACAGTTCGATAACATAAACACAAGAATAATCTGAATGTCAGAAAAATTAGGAAAGATAATAATACAAATTCATGAATTTATTGTCTCTGCTGAAGGTCGGCCAGGGCTGTAATAGTGGCTGGAATTGCTTCTTTTGCGCACAAAGCACTAGTTGTTCACGCGTATTGCTATAGCCTTTGATGTTTGGAGCATGCGGTACTTCGGTGCTTTTGGCAATTTATTTGGCACCCGGTAGATGATAGAGAAGGATTCTTCCACGCTGGTTTTGTGGTTGGTTTGCATCAGATGGTCTAATAGCGAACTGTTTATGGTTTGTACTATATCTTAACTCAGCCATGCTGGGAGATGTTCTCGAGCACGAATAATCAAGTTCCTAGGGCAACGGCGGATACGACTCGTTCCACAAGCGCAGTTGACTTGGTAGACACAGTTGCAAGTGGCTAGTCTAGGTACTTCATCTTTTCAGTGGAGGAATCACCATCGGTCGTGTAGAGAATAATACGTGTAGTTCGCCAGCATTAAAAGTTCTCTGAACTGATTTTGTTAATTTCTTCGTAATTATTTCGCTTGGTCTATCGCCCTTGAATTGTAGTCGTATATATAGAGACCTCTTGTTGACGGATAGTGAGTAGTCCTTCTCCGCTTTCTTTGTCATGTGTTTCTTGATTAATTCGTCTGAGTACTCAGTATAACGTAAAGATAATATTCGGCAGAAAATGTTTTTAAGTTAAATCATTCCTATGTTATTGTTCCAATTATCAGAAATATGGTTTTGTATAAATGAATTTGAAACCATCATTATCGCATTTAATGGGTAGTTTTTCTAGTCTGTTCGCATATTATCTAAAGAAACATTTTGAAAACTCCAATAGAGAATAACTGATATTGTCTTAAATACAATAAAATCTGTAAGAAAAGGATAATGCAAATCAGCAGTACTTTATAGCTGAATAATCGGTGAGTTAACCTGACCTTACAACTAAGTGAACAGCGGATATTTTCACCATGCCAGTAGTCTGACATATTAATTAGTTGACCTGTCTTCTTTATATCAGAAAACACTACAGTTTCTATTTTTTGTTGTTGATATTTGTTTAATAATCCAAATGAAGTATAGTAATGAAGCTGCCTTCTCTGTGACTAAAAATTTCTCTGCCCTAGATTAAGTTGTTTAACTTTATTATCTCTTCCACCGGATTATTTAGAAAACAATAATACACTGTAAAGCTTTATGGGTCAGTTATCCCTAAGAGTGGAAACAATGAATTTGCATTGAAATAGCTTATACATCTTAAGCTTCCTGTAATACTCAGTTCTGTAGATGTATCAGAGATTACTCAAACAAATAAAGATTAAGGCAAAACATTTTACCGGAGTCATCACCGGAGTCAGAGATGAGACGACTACTAATTCTTTGCACAAAAGACATCCAATTTAGATTCAATAACCAATTCTACCGACAAATCGATGAAGTCGCCATGGGTTCACCTCTAGGACCCATTCTAGCAGATATCTTCATGGGCTATCTCGAACAGACGCGACTGAGTGACGCTATCAATGAAACAACATACTACCGTCGATACGTTGATGATACTCTTGTTGTTTGTAACGACATGAGTCAGGCATCCGTATTATTTGACCGCCTAAATGAGGTCCACCCAAACATTAAATTCACCATGGAATACGAACACAACGATGAGTTAAATTTCCTAGATCTAAATGTAAAAAGAAGAGACGATGGAACGGTCGAAAAGTCCATCTACAGAAAAGAAACTTGGACCGGACAATACCTTCACTACAACAGCTTCTGCCCTATGAGCTATAAGCGGGGATTAGTAAGGACACTGTACGACAGGGCTAGGAAGTTATGTTCGCCCAACAAGATAGAAGAAGAATTAAGCTTCGTTGAAAAATGCCTTAAGGAGAACGGGTATCCAAAAGGATTTATTCTAAAGTACAGCAAAGAAAGAGATGAGAAAGAGAAGTATCCAACAGTTGAAAACAAGAAAGTATTCATTTGCCTCCCATACAAAGGAGAAACAGTATCGCGAAAGATTGAAAAAAGGATGAAAGGAGCTATCAGGAGATGCTTCCCTGCAGCCAATCTAGTGACACTGTACAGTACTACATGCTCTACAAGCCAATCGAAACTGGATAAATACCCTGCTGATGTTACCTCCAACTGAATTTATAAATTTACGTGCACCTGTGGCAGCAAGTAAATCGGAAGGACAGAAAGAAGGGCTTCTATCCGGTTTTCAGAGCATATTCCAAGAAACTTATGCTTAAAAGCAAGCAAATATTTACAAAGTGCAATTACCAGACACCTTGTGGATACAGGCCATCTTGTTGAGATTTCCAAATCCTTCAAAATATTAAACATACAAAGGACAGCGAATCTACTACGATTTGCTGAAGCAATTGCAATCAAACGCCTCAGACCAAACTTATGCACACAGAAAGAGAGTGTAGTCAATCTCTCACTCCCTTGGTAACCATATCACTTTCATTACAGTGATTACTCATAGACACTAGTGAGTTCAACTCACTAAGCAAGTTTTCAAATTGATGAACTTCGACCTTGTTGAGTTGCCATGTTGACACTGTTTATTAGATTTTTCTGTTTTCTGTCTTCTCTCACCCCCCCTTTTTCTTCCTTTTTTCATAGTTTGATAGTATATAAGTTGATGGTAACTTAAACTACAAAAAATTTTAATCCTTATATTCCGGATGCGTTCATCTTATAATGCTTTCTGTATTACCTTTCAAACAATGAAGTATGAAATGTTATTAATTATAACCATTGTAATTTCAGGTAGCTTGCAGCTGATGAGAGCCTGTGAAATAGAATGGTATCATTTTATACTGCAAATCTCGTCTTTCTTTCTCTATCGAAATTTATCAAGTGAACCAAATGTATGAAAAAAATTTTCTATTTTTATTTAAACATCCGAAGTGAAATGTAGTTGCTTTTATCAAGTTAACGATTTTATCATTTAGAAGTGCACATAGTTTCAAGTTCGATCTCGGAATGACATCATTTAGAGAACCAAAGAGTGATGGACAGCTGTTTCATCCTACTTTGGGATTCTTCCTCATTACTCACTAACAGGAGTTTGAACCTCGACCCATCAATGCTAAATTCTGCCAATTCACCGTATATAACCACTGAATCTCGCCCCAGTGGCTGAATGACTAATGAGCTCGCCTTGTAACCTGAATGTCCTCGGTGCGATTCTTGGCGGAGGAGTCCCAAACTAGAACGAAGCAGCTATCCAGTACTTCCTATTCGATATTCAACAGATCCCTAACTGATATCAATCTGTGATCAAACTTTAATGAGTTGCATTCAAATACAATAGTGACAAAATATTTTAACATCAGGTCATACTTTGTATCAAAGTATATTCAGCGCATGATATAAGCATTTAAGTAAGCATTCCTTTGGATAACTTACTGTTTAATATGAAAACTTGTAGAATAGTATACGCAATAAATCTGAATACATCTCTTTTATCCATTTTCACAAAATAATTTGACAATTATGTATAGACTTGAAAATAATTGAAGGAATTAGACACCATCATTGCATCAAAATGAATGACTCGATAGAAAGTGTCTTATACATATTCTTAGTCTGAGAGAGTTTATACAGTATTCATATAACTGAAATGGTTTATTTGATAGATTTTCTCCTAGGAATATATGTAATATCGCCGTTACGTAATAGCGTTTTAAAATTTGCGCCAAATATTACATGATCACTTGTTTTACTATAAACATATAAGTTCTACAAGGATAATAGTAACTGATATTTATGAATGAATCAGAAAAAAAAATGCTAGTTTCAATTAGATTGATACGTGTACGTATGTGAATAATAATAAAATCAAACATTGACCAATCAGAAAATTCCAATAATAATCCACTCTGGGCAAATAAGCGTATAAGCACATTGAATGAATACAAGGCAAGAATCAGAAACTAGTGTTTGTAAAATTGATAAGCTTTTAAAAAATGTTGAAGTACAACGATTATAACGCATACATCATATTTCATTTGCTCAGCGTTTTCAAGAAAAGTTGTCAAATCACTGAATTCATTCGGAAAACAAAGTAATATTCCTGCTTATTTCATCAAAGAACGTCATATATATATATATATATATATATATATATATATATATATATAGAGAGAGAGAGAGAGAGAGAGAGAGAGAGACAGTGGAGCTATTTTTTTGGAAAGAGCACTGCTGAGTTGCTTTCCTTCCGCGATACATTCCAAATAGTTACTTAGTTAGTTCTCTTTTTTTCTCTACAACATTACTGAAAACTAATGCATATTCGAATTCTGACTGTTCTGATTGTCTTGAAGAGCAGATAGTAATAATAATAATATAACTAATGTTGGTTTTGCGTGAATTAACAATATATCTATCTAAATATAAGACAGTCAACATCACTGTGTTTTATGAAGTAGCATTATCATTCCTATTGAGTCGTTCGTTATCTCTTCTCTTGTATTCTCTCTTTAAGAGAGAGAAAAAACTACTCTACAGTTAGTTGTTGAGTTGCAAGGGGGACACTTTGTTTTACTTTCTTTTTCCAGTTTCTTAAATTTATGACCATGATTTTGAAATTTGAGTTCCCAAGATTGTACCCCTTCTTGTTTAAGGTTTATTGTCAAAAAAGAAGCCCAGAAAATATGAAATATACATTCGTTGTGGTTCAATAAAACAAAAAGACAAGCTTTAGCATTCTCATACACATACATATGGATTGGATAACTGTTATGTCAAAGGTGGATAGTAGTTGAAAGGTTTATAACAAGTGTGTCTACGATTATTTGTGCGTGTGTGTGTGTTATGGACTTGTATGTAGTTTTATATAATATTTATGCTTGTTCGTGTATAACATATATGCTTATTTTTTTCGGAAAACACTGACATAGCAGACTATTTTTCCGTGATTTAATAAAAATTTCAATGATCAATAGAAGTTAATTCCTTCTCTTTTTTTTGTTTTAAAGATTGAATTCGTTGTTTATATGCATATGTATATCATTGGCAATTTTTCAACTGTGTATTTATGAAGCTTGTGATTATTTTAGTTTAATGTTATCAGAATATATATATTTTTTAAATTTCCATATGTAATTTAACTTTAGAAAAGTTTGAAATAAACTTGCTTTTGTTTTTATTTTGATAAATAAATTATTTAAAAAAATTAATTGAAGTAATCAAGGATATCTATCAGTGAATATTTGAAATAAAAATTGTGTTGGCAAGAATTCAACTCTTCTAGATGGAAGACAATAAGTGAAGACTACAAACTTGGTGTGTCATGAAAAGGATTTCCAATAGGACACTACAAACTGCCACGTTCACTAGCTGGTTCCATACTGAAGATCAAATGGCCAGCCAACCAGCCAAAAAGAATCAGCAACAAGAAACTCTGCAGTGGAACAAATCAACCAAGAGACAATTGCTCAACAAATATGTTGGAGAAAATGGAGATGGGTCGGATATAAGCCACTGAAGAGGCCGTCGAATGACATCGCTTGTCGTGCACGCTATTGCTCGATGAGTGAGCCTTCAGTGAGAGGGTGACATGGAGGAGACCGTGAAAGTTGTAGGAGATGAGAGATTATGGGCAATCGTGGACCTATTTGAAAAGGAAAACAGAGAATAGAACAAAGTGGGGACGTGCGGCTGAAGCCCTATGTTCCACTCGGCGATCAATGGAGTAATAATAATTATAAGACAAAGTTGATAAGCAAGCCTAAAAGCTATGAAATTCCAAAAGCTTTAACTTCAGAAATTTAAGAAAAGTGTATCTTGAATTTGAATGCTTTAAGAGTTTGATAGAACAATTTTTCCTAATGTTGAATGATAAGTTAAATAATCATTTTGTTTCCTCATTCCTTGGATCCCGAGTGGAACATGGAGCTTGAAGCGTTTGAAGTTTCAGCAGTGGTGGCGTTATTTTTATGATGGGTGGGGTTTTTCACCTCACACCTGACATTTCCTGGGCTTATTATCCAACAGGCAAATCTTAGAAGTGCGTAGATCAGAAGTCGAAGCCGGATGACATAATGATATAAAAGAGTATTGTAAAACACAAAGTAACGTGCGTGACTCAATTATGGATAAGATTTTATTTTGATAAGTCTCACAGTGTTACACTGTAATATTAACTGATAACGACGTCTTGAGCACAAATCATTGCTCATAATCATATCAAGTTACTCACACAACTTTTTCGCTTCATTTATATACATGAATGGAATTGTTTAGACATTTGAATAAAAATCAGTATAAGATAATGTACATTCAGTAATAATATGAGTGTTATTGATCAATTACAATCAGACGGGAAATAAGACAAGTGTTTTTATAGTCAAAATAAGTAACTTGTTAGAATGCTATAATGTACGTGAATTGAAATAGAATTTCGAGATTATTTATTATCCTCCTCATATTTGACTGGTGGTAATAATTTCTTCCATATTTCTGGTATTTGCATTGAGTCATTTCTGTTGCATGTGTTGGATGTAGACTCAATGATATAAGATTCAGTAATCAATATCTCTCTTCACCTACATAGATTACTTTTTAGAATGTTAACCCTCTCCCACCCTATTGTGTGGTTGTGTATTAATGCATGTAGTGCAAGTGCTGAGCTTTTTTCTAAATTACTTATCTTCTCTGGGTCAACTATTCTTACCTTAGCTAAATAAATGAAGGAAAAAGTTGTGTGAGTAACTTGATATGATTATGAGCAATAGTTTGTGCTCGAAACGTCATCAGTTAATATTACTGTATAACACTATATGATATATCAAAATAAAATCATATCCATAATGAAGTTATACTCTACCACAGTGCCCAAGTTTTATACTTATATCAATGACGTGTGTGACGTTTCACTTCAACGCTCTTTCGAATGAACTCTAACTCTCTGGCAAGATTATTTAAATTAGTATGGGACTGTGGACAGATAATAGCCAGTAACATTGATTGGTTGATTGATTATATATCACATACTGACAGAACCTCCAACCCATGGGCCATCGGATTCCAGCTCAGTTGCTGAATGGTCAGTGGGATCACCTAGCAACCTAAAGTTAATGGGTTCCATCCCTGGCATGTTCATCGGTGCGCAGTGCTGAAAAGTCCCAAGTTATAACGAAGAAACTATTCAGTAATTCCTGATTTTCACTGGTTCTCTAACTGAATTCGGTTCCAGTCATCTGACTTAGTTTATCCTTGGAGTTATGTAAGACTGATGAGAAAACTATATTCTACTATAAGAAAATTAAAAAGAAATGCTAATTAAATGTATTATTATTAATGAATTCCATGTGTGACAGCTGGTGTGTATAGCATTTTTACAAATATAGAAGGAACAAAAAAATACACTTAAAATGTGATGCTTCGTATACTGATGCACTGTCTACGTTTGTATGAATTGAGATTAAACTCACAAATGAATAAATTGTACCTCTGCTAGTGAAAAGGTAACTGTCATCATTTTCCAGCAGGCTACAGACTTTCATAAACACGTGTTTCCTCTCCATACTGAAAATCAGATGGCCAGCTAGAAAGAATTAGCAACAAGAAACTCTGGGAACGGACTAATCAAGAACCTATTCACCAATAAATATGTCGAAGAAAATGAGGATGGATAGGACACACGCTGGGAATACTGTTCAGTGACATCACGTGCCGAGCCCTCGAGAAGATGGTGAATGGAAAACCAACGGGGGAGTATGGCTCCGAGGGCGACGTGGAGGAGATTATGTGAGGCGAAAATGAAAACCGATGGGCAATCGTGGAACCAGATAAGTAGGATTGAAGAGAGCTGGACGATATGGACGACATGCTGTTGAAGTCCTTTTTCTACTCGGAACTCAATGGACGAATAATAATAATAGCAATTAACACAGCTGTACATATTTCATAGTTTAGGCTTATAATACAGTCTAAAATCTCTGTGAGATCTGACACTTCAAGCTTCTCATCACCATCTTTAGTATTATATTTCCACTTCTTCTACTAGTAGTTGTGTTAAACAGCATCTTAGTGTTATACTATTCACCTGGAGAATAATTCGCTTATTGCTCAACCTTGTCTTATACTCTCCAGTTGAATTGTAGTGAAATAAAAGACGAAAAATAGTTAATTAAGGTGTAGTCATCTATCTATACAGTTACCATAAAAATTACTATTATTATTATTGTTCCCTTGGGTTCCTTGTGGAACATAGCGCTTCAACTACACGTCTCCACTTGCTTCTGTCTTCTGCTGTACTTTTCACCTGTATCCATGTTAGTCCATACTGTTTCAACTCCTCTTCGCACTATCTCCTCCATGTCACCCTTGGACGTCCCACTCACCGCTTCCCTTTCGGGTTCCACTCGAACCAAGGCCTGACGCGCGATGTCACCAAGCGGCCTCCTCAGGGAGTGTCCAATCCATCTGCACTTTCTCCTACATATTTGTTGGGCGATTGGTTCTTGTTTTGTTCGTTCCCATAGTTTCTTGTTGGTTCTTGTTCTTTCCGGCCATCTGATCTTCAGTATAGAGCCAGCGAAGACAGTTGTTGATAAAGGTCTGCAACAGGCTGTTGGAGATATTCTTTGTGACCCGCCAAGTTTCTGATCCGTACAGAAGAACTGACTGACTTGACGTTTGTATTGTAAATCCGAATTTTGTTGTTGATGTTGAGTGACGAAGATTTCCAGATTGGTTTCAGGTTGATGAATGTGTTTCTCGCCTTCCCGATTCTCGATTTGACATCCTCGTCCGTTCCTCCTGTAGTTGAGACAATGTTCCCTAGATAAGTGAATGAAGTAATCTCTTTCAAATCCCTCTCATTGATGGTGATTGGCGCTGGATGTTGCTGCTGTTGGTTGGTTATTTTCGTAACCTCCGTCTTGTCTATGTTCATCTGGAGTCAGTCCTGTCTTTGCTGCTTCTTCGACCAGTTTGTCGATTTTTGCTTGTAAGTCTTCGATTTTGTGTGACATCAAACATAAATCATCTGCGAAATCCAGGTCTTCTAGGTTCTTCACGTTGGTCCAGGATATCCCTGTCTTCTAGTTTCCCACTGTCTGACGCATA